AAACAAATTTATTATTCTGTTTAAACCAAATCACCCAAAATATGACATATACAACTTAAATCTACAGTTCCATCCCTAAATCCTGATTGATGATAACCCATTCGGCGTCTAACCTGACACTAGATCGCTACATTTCAAAACATTCTACTCAAGTTAATACAGCCTGAAACCATATGAAGTCCATTTTACAATCTAAGAGAGAAACACAAGCCAAATGTAGCAATATGCAATAGCTAAAAATTATTCTTACCTCTTGTACCAAGAGAAATCATTAGGTATGCTTGCTTTAGCATTTTTGAGATGATCAAGTTGCACTAAAATGTCGAGTAGCTTTAACATGGACCTAGAGAAAATAATAAATCAATCATAATTAAGGCATCTAATGAGAAAATTTTATTCTAATATCACCACTTAAATCATAACATGAAGGTTGTATGTTATTATATTCAGTAGTCAATATGTTAGTCACAGAAAAACAAACAAGGTAAGGTTCTCAAAGAAATAAAAGGAAATAAAGAGGGAACCATCACAACACACCAAAGGTGAGTTATTGTAGGGCCATTAATCCGTCGCTCAGGCCTAGAAAAGCGTTGCATATCAGCAGCAAGCTGGGTTAAAATTAACAGTTATAAGTGGAAAAAGCCAACCTTAAGGGGAAAATGAGTATTGAAAAGCAGGAAAAATATTGATATCAATACTTTAGTCGCAGCTGATGCTTGCCATCGTTGTATTTCACGCAACCGACTCATCTCCAAGTCCAGAACTTGATATGTTTCTAGATATAAGTCGGCTTGATTATGCTTCATAGAATCAGGTAGCTGCCACATCATACAGAACAAGGGACACAATTGCATAAGAGAACAAAGTTTCAAAAGTGCTGAGCTTATCTTATTGAAAGGAGAAGTTTAAAGGAACATTTCTCCATATGATGCTAGTTGGTATTATGATGGTCACCCTAATATAATTGAAGAAATTCTTTTTCACCTTATCTATTGTCAAAATACCTGAGGAAGTGCTTTGACACAACTGCGATATGTATAAAGCACTGATGCCATCTCTTTCCCTTCCTGGATAAGTGTGTTCTGCCATGCCATCAAATACAAGATCAGAGAAAAAAAACAAAACATTAAAAAGTTTAGACTCTAATTAGCTTAAGCAAAAATAAGTGTTTATGCAGATGTGCAAAGAGGAGCAAAAAATTGGCATACAAGCTGATTGAGAGCTTTTGTGTCCTCCGTCAGAGACAAACGATAAGCAGAAACATCACAATACTCTGAAAAGGGGGGGGGGGATAAAAAAATCACCAGTTATGCAAGAAATTTTAAGAATATGCAACTAAGTTGGAAAAAAAATAAAAGATAAATCAAGCAACCTCAATATATAAGACCAATAAACAACCAATATGCTACTGATAACACTGCATCTATTCCGAGTCCATCCTCTTTATTACTTTAAAAAAAGTCAGAGGTCAATGTTTCATGCAAATCAAAGTTCTAAAACTTGAAGTTCAAGTACTGCAATGAAGATATATCCCATTCTTCAACTAAAACTAAAATCTAACAAAGGAAAATACCCTTAAATATTAAGAGAACGCAGGGAGAGAAATACCAATTGGACTGATAGTTGATCCCCTTTCAGTTGACACCAAAACTGCCGGTCCTTGTACATCTGGTTGCTCATCCTAACAAAAACAAATTTTGTATAAAAACAAAATGCATTGTAATTTCGAGAAAAAAACAGAAGAACACATTTTGGAAATAAATTTTTAGAAATTAAATTAACTTTTTTGAAACCAAATTAATGAAAGCAAAGCAAACAAAAAGTTTAAGAAACTATTTACCTCTAGGGAGAATGTCGACAAAGCTGCAATGGCTTCTTCAACTGGAACAGCTGCCATTTTCAAAGAGTTTTTTTCTTCCAAATTTCCCAAAAATACGTTCAACTGTTTAAGCTTCTCTTGCCTATTTTAAAATAACAACATTTTTAAAGTAAACTCTTTAAATTTTAATAAGGGTGTAAAAATGGAGACGTTCGATCCCCAACGAATCGGAAGCAGAAAGGGCGTCGGACAGTGAGTTGATGACTCGAGTTTTTTTTTTTAAAATACGATGACTCGAGCTTTGAACGGTGCTAAAGAGGTGATAGCTCTAGGATTTTTTTTATTTCATATTTATATACTTTTATTCATCAAATTCAAAAAAATATGTTTTAATCATTTATATTAGTGATTTATTAAATTTTAATAATTTATATAATCAATTAGGATAAAGTATACAAATGATCTATCGACTATAGGATGATATTTTATTGGGTCTCTCAACTATAAAAAATGTCAAAATAGTATTTTGATTATAGTGTGTTACTTTGTTGAGTTCCGTAAGTATTAAAAGTTACAAAAATAATTACTCAACTATTTAGTATATTCCAAAATTATCTTCTTTTTTGTTAAAAATTGACGGCAGTATGAACTAAATATTAACCTGATGACTGAGATATGATAAAATTTATCATAAAATCTAAAATAATATCATATCTCAGTCAACATGTTAACATCCATATTAAATTATTATCAAATTGTTAGCGAAAAATGACAAGTTTAGAGCATACTAAATAGTTGTATGACCATTTTTGTAACTTTTAATACTCATGAGACTATTTGTACCCTATCAATTATTATATTTTTATTATTCGATTGTTAACTTATTATTTTTTCTAATAATTAACATGTTAATTTGATGATGCATAAGTTAATAAAATAGATTAATTTTAAATTTAATTAATGAGTTTTAGATAAAATATTAATTTGACCTTTGAATTTTAAATAAAATATTAATTTGACATTTGAATTTTAGATAAAATATTATTTATAAATAATAATATAAATATAACAAAAGTATTATAACATAGTAATATTATAACCAAAAAAAATTATGCATTTGATTATGATTTAAATTTAAATATTTTGTGTTTTTTTTAAAGAATACTAATGATAAATTTATTATTGTGACTCGAGTCAAATGTTGATCCTTAGATACATATATACTTGAATTACATATCTAAATTTTTTTTTTAAATAAAATAAATATTTTATTTGAAAGAAGAAATTTAATCTTGAATATGAACTTTCTTATGATTGTTATTGAATGAAGTCTTGAGTTGTTCAATATTATGATATGGTATTTAAAATCAAAATCAGATTTAACATTTTATTTTATTATTATGTAATATTTTAATTTTAAACAAATATTTACTAAAATGGTTGTACTTTTCCTATGTTGAGTCGCTAAATTTTGAGTTTAAATCCTTTTATTTACATCAATTTCATTTTATTTTTTTATTTGGCAAATAACTCATTTTTTAATATATAGCATTTTTTTTGTTACAAGGGAAAAAGAACTACTATATAGCATTAATAATACATTAAATATTGTAATTCACGTGTTCATACATTAATAATATATTATGAGATGTTATGGCACAAGAATAATTTATTATTTAAGTTATAATATTATTTATTATTATAAATTAAATTTACGTGTCTAGTAAAAAATATGAAATAAACGAATTCTTAAATATTATAAATTTTAAAAATAAATCGAATTAAATTGGGTCACCAAAACGAAACCAAAATTTAAATTTAGTGATGATTTTGAAGAAAAAAGCAATTGATTGGTTAAAACAAAACCATAAGAACAATTGAGTCACTAAATACTTAATTTAGCTCAATTTTTCTAATAGAGTTAACGATTTGAAATAAATGATATAACGATTTAAATTCAATGGGACAATACATTTAGGGATGGCAAACGGGCGGGTCGGGTGCGGATACCCCCTCCCCCATCCCCATACACACCTAATATTTTTCAATCCACCACCCGCCCACCACCCATGATGGGTATAAATTTTTAAATCCACACCCGCCTACGCGGGTACATTTTCAAATCCATCCTCACATCCACTACCCATTAGCGACATACCCATCTAAACCCGCCTGACAGCAAACTAATGGGATGTTGGAGTTGGTTCCCAGATAGTTCGTGATGGGGTAGCAACGCATGCTTCAATTTGTCAGATGAGTGGCTCTACGAATGTTATAGAGACAGATTGTAGGGAGCATGTAGTTACAGATCTGGATTGTTGAGTTGCTTTCGATGTTAATGCTCATAGTGCGCCTAATATGGGTTTTGAGGGGCTAAAGAACATAGAAACTGCTGCTTTTGATGTTAATGAATATAATACGGCTAATTTGTGTTTGGATGAGCAGCATGGCCTAAAGAACATGGAAAGTGACGTGGTTAGTGGGATTATGGGTTTAATCAAAGAGCCGAATATTTCCCTAATTAAATACCAGATTAAAAACTAAATATCCTTAATATTTGGTTAAATTATATGTTATATATTATATAATATTAAAATTTATAAATTAGTCTCTAAAATTACACCTAAATTCATAATGGTCCAAAATTTAATAGATATTTAGCTGGGCGAGCGGATGTAGGACGGGCGGATGCGGGGCAGGTAATGTCTCAAACCCATTACACGCCCACCACCCACGACGGGTACCACTTTATAAATCCACACCCGCTCACTACCCGCTAAAATTATACTCATCCCCGCTCCAATTGAAACGGATACGGTGCGGAATCCACGAGATTGTATCTGTTTGCCATCCCTTATCTCGAAAAATATTTTAATGGGACAAAATGCATAGTTTAGGGGTAGCGGTGCATTAAAGCTTTTTTATGTATTTTTCTTTTTTTGCCTTTCTCTTGTTAAGGTATTCGAAACAATTGTATTTGATCATAGAGAGAGGTAGCTTTGTGGTCAAGCATGTCTGAAACCTGGTTCTCACTAAGAAAAATTAAGCGTGTGATTGAAGCAAAAGATAAATAATAGCTTGTTTGACTTCAAAGTTAGCCGAGGCCACGATTTCAATATTTGCTTGGTTATACCAACAGAATGTGAAGAAAAAAAAATCAGAGAATATATATTCAGTCCTTTATTAATATATGAAAAAATTGGCAAAAATTTGAACATACTCATATCCTACATACATCCATATCCATCACAAACCCAACTTTGGTTAACATAAATCACTACTATACAACAAGAAGGTAGGATTATACACCTGCTGCTATGACGATGGTGATGAAGATGACAATGATGCATCGTTCCCAGAAGTGTCATTCGTTTGTCTGGCAGAAATAACCCTGTCAAGGGTTTGATCAGGGACCGCAATTCCTGTAGTCTCAAGGTCTGCAACAATGGCGATGGCAGCGTCTAGTTCGCCGAGGTCAATACATAATGAAATTACTTCATCATAGAGGGGACTGTAACAGAAGCAACAGAATTAGATGGAGAGTTCATCTGAAATAAACAAACCATGTTATACTGATATCTGACATGGGCATTCAATTTTTTCCCGAGATTTCTAAGTATTTGGAGGGCCCTTAGAGGGTCATATCCTCGTATCCACTATCCATGCCCGGATATGCGTCAGACAAGGGTGTTAAGCATAAATCCTTTTAAAAAAGTTTATGTATACTTTAAACCAGCATCTTAATTCATCAGATTAAGGAACATGACAGATGTACCTGCCAAAGACATGACCGAGACTGTGTGCCTTCTGCAAGATCTTCAAGAAGGCCGAAGGCATAGGAGCCTTAATGGCTGCTCGCAGTATCATAGCACAATCCCCAATCGTGGGTGTTCCACCCAATTCAATAACCTGAATAAAAAGTTATGAAATTTCATCAGTTAATGTGAGAAAAAACAAATGCCAAAACTTGAGGGAAATGGAAATGATCCTCTGTTGCTCCGACTAATCTGACACTTGTGTCCAACACATATTCAAACATGGGTATTGAGATCTAATCCTCTTAAGGGATCCTCCAAATACATGGAAAACTTGGGAAAAAGAAACTGAAGATACCCGTGTTGGACACATAAATATAAGACACTCGCAATCAAATTTGAGTAACATGGAAATGATCCAGCTTGGGTAAAAAACGAAGCATATCAATGCAATTGCAAGAGCTACCTGATCTAGAAAGCAATAAAATTAACCATAGAAGAAGTTTATAATGTGATAGAATATCTCACTAAACTAATAATTTTGGATTACCAAATAGATATGAAGATGAAAAGTGAGAAGAAAATAAGAACATGCCTTTTGCATTACTTGAATTGCCAACTCAACTTCCCATTCCTGTGACCATCGTCGAGGAGGTTTATTTTTAAGTTGTCGCTCCCATGTCCAACCCCAAACATCTGCTATAGTGTACATGTCTTCAACATCAAACACCTTTCTATTTCTCAACTCTTGAAATGCTTCAAAAATATCCTCGGGAAACCAATCTTCATCGTCATCATCCTGCAGCCGCATGCAAAAGATGTATCAATGTCCCAAGTTCTAAATAGAAACAAATTTTGACTGAAAACCTCTTGAGTTTATGTAATAGGAACGAAATGGACTTTTGATATATACAGCATCTCGGGCACTTCTATAAGCTGTAATATATCAAACAAAGGTATCTTTATTACCTCAACAGATACTCGAGAAGACCTTCGTCTTGATTTTTTGGATCTAGTAGTTATTTGGTCAGAGTCTTTCAACAATTGAACCCCAATCATTTGAAGAGGCTTTTTAGCTTCAACTTCCTTATCCTTAATCCTGTCTACTTCTTGGCTTTCGGTTTGTTCTACTTCCTCCTCTTCCTCACCTTCACCTTCTCCTTCTCCTTCATCCTCTTCAATATCCTTTGCAGCATCTTCTACAACATCACTCTCATCCAGCTCATCATCTACGACTTCTGATTCATCCTCTTCTATTGGCTTCACCTGATCAACCTGAAAACCTTCTCCAAGAAACCGGCGTTTCCAGAACTCTGTATTTCCTTCTTCCAGCTTAATCCGAGATATTAGTTCATCTAATTCCTCATCAACCTGCAAAAGATACACAACCAAACCAAAATATATTCTTAAATGTATTCATATGCAAACAGTGTGATATAATTGATAAAGAAGAAATATATTAATAAAGTATAACCTCTTCTTCCTCCTCCTCCACAGGTGGAACCCAAAGAGGCCGACCACGTGAGCGATTTATTCTCCTTGCTTTTTGGACACGCTGGTAAAGAACATTTCTCGTTCCATCGATTGGTAGACCTTGTGCTTCAAGCTCTTCCTTTAGCTCAGATACCACCATCTTACTTGCAGCCTTGGGTTTTAAAACATTCTGGTCCGGACCTTTTATTATTTTCTTCAACTTCTCAACAACTCTTATATAATCAGATTCCGATGCATCACCCAAAGCTGCAAGTCCTTCATTCTGCAAGGTTTTCAAAAGCTTCCGATGGTGCATCTTCCACTCCTCTAGACATCTTTGCTTGAAGGAGGATTCCATAGGGTTTGAATATATAAATCCAGCAGCATCAGGATCTAGAGGTGTTTTTCCTCTTCGAGGCACCCATCGCTTGCGTTCACCTGTAAGTCCACCCTCCTCAATGTACCTAGGTTTTAAAGAGAGTAAATTGTTTCGAAATCAAATCAATATCATCAAAAGCACCGCTTGGGCTGATATAATCATTAATGACAATTCGTTGTCAGTCTAACATAATAGAAATTTCTTGGGCAGGTTTTCCATGATGTGAAGTGAACCTTCCAGTAAAGCAAGGAAGGTATGATTAGAGGACTATGAATAAACTACGAAAACCAGAACCGACTGTTGATTAAAAGACACACCTCCCAATGTAATCGATCTCATAACCCAGTTCAGCTTCCTCTTGTAGAGGTTCAATCCAAGAGCTAACTAGTGTTCGATATTTTCTGCTTAGAATCATAGCTCTTGGTGGAATAGGTTGGTTATCTTTGGACATTGCTTCTAGAGCTTCTAGCAATTCAACAATTCTTCCTGATCCAATCATGAGTACACAGTAGTTAAATTAAATCTAAAACCAAGAGAAATAATGATCATACAGAACAAATTTCAAGATACCTTCTCGACATAATGCTCGAAGATACAAAGAAAGTGGATCGCCAAAGTTTCCTTCATTGTGCAACACTATTGTTCCCCCTTCATAGTTCTTTAGTGCACGGAAATGACGAATAGCTTCCCTTACAACACAGTACTTGGTAAAACACTCCACTAACAGCCTGACATATGGAGAATGACATCAGCCATCATGAACAAAAAAGCAACTAGCAGGAACGAAAAAGGAGGCAGTACACTATGACAGTTGCCAATTGAAGATGTAAAAGGCATACACACAGAGAATTCAAGTACACATATCATTAGTGAATTTTAACAGACAAATCACAGCTGGTTTCACGTAGAATATATTTTCCAAATGAAACAAGCTAAGTGAATGAACATTTAAATTTCAGAAGCTACCAAGAAAACACTCTCGAGTAAGACAAATAATACATTGTTTGAGTACAATATACCAGATTACCAAATGAGGTATGGGATGGGTATGGGATATCCAAACGAGGAGAAATCTGTTGGATTGGGAAGTTGATCAATGGATCGAATTATTGTCAATGTTGGATAATGTTAGTCTTGGATCGGTCGCTGATGATTGTTGTGTTTGGAAAGGGAACGAGGAGGGGGTATACTTGGTTAAATCGTGCACTAACGTAATTTTACGAATATCCGTTCCAGATTTGTCTTGGTCGAAGCTTGTTTGGGTTGTAATTGCACCTCCCAAAGTGGAGGCATTTTTATGGCAGGTTTTTCACCATAAGTTGGCTGTCAAATCTGTTTTGATTAGGCGGGGTGTAAGTGGAATCGAGGATCCTCTTTGCCCGTTGTGTGGCTCGGAGCCGAGTCTGTTTCTCATTTGTTCTTCTCATGCAGGATAGCTTGGGGAGTATGGCTGCGGTTTCTAAGGTTGTGGGATCTATGTTCAGCCTTGCCTAATAATCCCAAGGAGTTTATGTACAATTGGTTTGATTTACTTCCGAAATCTGATATTTGGAAATTCATACCGGGTGCTGTAATGTGGACTGTATGGAAATGTCGAATCAAATGGTGTTTGAGAATGGAAGGTTGGATCAAACTCTACTATTTTTTTTGGCTAAATATAGGGTGGCTGCCTGGTTTTTGGTAAAGAAGTCCAATTTACCTGTTCTCCTAGATTGTCTTGTGGGAGATCTAACTTTGGCTGATCTGCACACTGGTCCTATGAAGAAAATTCCTCCCTCGCCCTATTGGTGCCCCCCTCCACCGGGATTTTTAAAGTGAATGTGGATGGGACTGTAAGATGTGACTGGAGGTGCAGTGATATCGGTGGACTACTTAGGGATGCTGAATGTATGCTAGTGGGGTCCTTCTCTTATGCGTCTGGTCCAGGTCCTCCGATTCTTGCTGAGCTCAAAGCAATTCAAGCTGGTTTGAATCTTTTTTTTTATTTGAAGTGGAGCTAAAAGGGGCGTCTTATTTTGGAAAGTGATTCTTCCAATGCTTTGAATTGGATTAAAAATCCGGAAGCAAGTCCTGCTGCTTTTGTTCATCTGGTTAAGGAAATTGCCAAGCGCGTGCTGGATTATAATGTGATTATTAGGCATGTTCAGATATGTTTTAATTGGGAAGCAGATTGTTTAGCTAAGTCGGACATAGGTTAATGTAGGGTGTTTCCTGTTGGTTGTGTAGGTTGAGTGTTATTGAGGGTAGAGGTTTTGTTTTGTGGGGAAGGTTGTAATTAAGGTGGTTTTTTACCCCTTCCAATGTCCGTTAAGATACCTATGTAGCTTGACGGTTAAGAAGGGTTTAAAGAGTCCCTTTTCCTATCAAAAAAAATATATACCAGATTACCAGATGAAAATAATAAACAAGCAAAACAATCCAATTAACTTAGAATATTTGCGGCAACGGTTTGAAGATAAAATAATGTTACTTCCCTAACAGGAAAAGAAAAAAATTTCCTTACGCGTAGGTTTTCACATTAGGCTGCAAACGCTTGTGGTCTTCAACCATCATCCCAAGTAACTCAGCCACATCTTGCACCCTGCAAGCATATCAAAATTCAACATACAGGGTTATGGAAGAAGGTCTCGTAGACAGGGACGGATGGTAGTTAGGGCCTGGGGGACAAATGCCCCAAAGATTTTGGAAAATTTGTTTTTAGCCCCTCAAAATTTTTTTAAAAAAAAATCTTAATTACTCCCCATCATTTTTAGAATTTCTTATTAGACTTTAAACTTTTCAAATATTTTTTAGTATCCCCACCAAAATTTTCCTCTCGATTTAAAAAAAAAAATTAATTAGATCCTCAATTTCTTTTTTGAAAATTTTGCCTTAGTTATTTTTAAAAAATTATTAGGCCTTCAAAACTTTTGAAAAATTTAATTTAGCCCCCAAAATTGGTTTTTCAAGATCCTTCACTTCTCTTAGAGCAGATACAGTTAATAGACGTACAACTAGGTAATTTTTAAATTTCATTTGAGGACTTAAATTAATAAGGGTTCCTTATGGGCTCAAGAACCAACTCTATGTCACTCAAGTTTCAATTGAAATTTACTATTTCATGCTTATAGCCTCATACCAGACAGCATCACTGCCAAATAAATAAACAGAAATTTTCCATTTCCGACTGAAGAAACAATGACCCAGATAAAGAAAAGTGATGATAACTGATGTGCATAAGTCACCTGTCATAAGATTCAGCTCTAGTATATGCCTGGATCACCCAATTATATGTTTCTGTGTCAGGTTTCATATATTCTGTTACACAAATACAACAACGCATGTTATAGAAACCCTGAATTTTTTTAGCATTTTACCATTTATGTTATGCATGTTGACAAAGCAACAGAAAGAAGTAAGCAAAACAAATGCAAACCTTCTCCATATTCCATGTTTTCAAATGTCGCAAAAGCTATTTCGGGAATCCCACATGTTGCCTAAGCAAAGAAACAGGTGAAATGAGCAGCAGTATATAACAAACAATGGGAAAATGATTCTAACAGAGGCAAATAAGACCATCAAGTACTTGAAATGCTGTCAAATACACAATAAAAATATGCCTTCCATTTTTAACGAGACATCACAATTCCATTGTTTAAAGGATAAAATCGACAAATTCACTACCAGAAAAAACCATCATCTCATTTCCAAACAGTTGGCAACAAACAAACATAGCAAATTACATGCATCAACCAAAACACACAGTGATGGAATCCATAAAGTTTGAAAGGTGCATGCAAACTACAAACTCAATCAAATGCAAATGACCCTTTACTAATTAATAAGTGCATTGAATTGCAAAATATCGAACTCCATCAAAAGTCAGCAAAGAAGGTTGAAATGCCGAACACAGTATCAGAAAACTCACTTGCACGCTAAGGAGACAATTGAAATGAAAAGTTGTTGCCATCCGTCCTGCAGCTTCCATTTCATAGGCAATTTCTAGTGCATTCGAATGGTCACCAGCTTTACAGTCCTCCTCAATCATTAAATCGTACAGCTCATTTGTAGCTCTAAGCCCACCTTTAGCACCCTTTAGAAACACAACATTGGCATCTTCCAGATATTTGCCCTTTACAAGCTCCTCTGTCCAGACAAATGTCAACATTTTAGAATAAAATTTATCACTATCCACATATATAAAACACATAAAAATACAACGCATTGAGTTCTATTAAGCATTGTACCAACAAGAATAATCCAAGCTTGACGAATGTCATAGTCTAACTTTTCCATTGCTGCAAGGACTTCCAAACCTCTGGTTGCAAGGCCTTTCGACCCAAATAGACGAATCATTGAAACAAGAGTTTCGTGGAGAGGACGAACACCCACACCCAATTCCCTCCTCAATGCTTGCAGCTACATTCCAAATTTCAGAAATTTTTGCTCAAGATGATATAAATAAAAACTGGAACTCATTTGAGTTTTTAATCTAAGTAAACCAAATTCATTCATTACCACTAAAAAAAGGTTGAGTTTTTTAATCCAGGTAAACCAAATTCATTCATTTCCTCTAAAAAAAAGTTGAGTTTTTAATAAAAATAATACAATTTCACTGAAAGAAAAAGAGAAACGGGTTCATTTCATCTAAAGAATCCAAAAAACCAGGGAAATTAGGACACTTACCGCGCCTTCAACATCACCATTGAGGACATGAGCAACGACAAGCCCATGGAACGACCTGGGGCCGGGAGTGAGGCCGGCAGCGATCATGTCGTAAATGACATCTGATACACCGAAAGTGTCCCGGGACCTGGCTCTTTGCATAAGCTCTTCCATGAAGGTGAGACGGAGTGATTTCTCATGGGCCGAAACACCAGTAGAGCCATTTGGGGAAGATAGGGTGGCATTGCCGTCGTCTTTATCGTCTTGGGTTTGGCGTTTTTTCCTTCGGGATGATGGCTTCCGCTTTTGGGTTGAGATAGCAGCGTGAACTAAGGCGTTCCGGTGGCCGGAGAGAGATGGAAGGTAAGGAGGGAAAGCATGAGAGAAGAGAAGGGACATTGTTTTTGGATTGAGTGGATAAGAGGGAAAAACATAGACACAGGGTTTAAGGAAATAAAAAAAGTAGGGTAAAAAACAGCCATTAAACTATACTCATTAAATATTTTATTTAAATTTTTAGTTATAATTAGAATATTATTTTAACATTTATTATATTTTTATACAAAAATTTAAAATAAAAAGTAAAAATATAAAAATATTTTTATGTTGAATTTATAGAACTACTTTATGAATTGATTGCTTGATAAACAAATCTAACTACAATCTTCAAGTACATATAAATTATTTTTGACCCATGTCGACAAGTAATCTACAAAATATGATGCTAGAGTTTTATTATTTTTGCTTATTAAATTTATAATTTTCAAGTGTAACTTATACGGAATTGTTTAAATTTATATTATTTTTTGAGTTGTAATAAAGGGTTTAATTAAATTTTATGATTTGTAAAAGATTTTCTTGAAATTATAATTTTTAAAAATATTTTATAATTTTAAAATAAATTATAAATCTTAAAAAAAATTATATTTTTTTAATTCTTTAAAAATTATTATTTAGAAATGTTATAAAAATACTAAAATAAAATTTTAATGACAGTTGAGGACTAAATATGACATTAGCCATTAGTGTCTAATTTTAATCATAAATTCATTACAAAGGTATGTCTAATTCCAACATCACAATCTACTAAATTCCATCACATTCAAGACAAAAGCCAAAACAATTAAACAAGTTGAAACACACGACAGTTGAAGAAACAAATTATTGAAGAACACCCTAAACATTTTCTAGAAGAAGAAAAAAGAGATTTAATGTTCAAATTCTGGAATCAAAGGCCATGACAGTGCTGAGATTCATGGGGTGCATGTAATGATTAGAGCCGTTCATTATCTGCTCCACAATCAATCTGTTAGCCTTCTCCGATGGATGAAACGGATCCCAAAACGCATACACATCTCTGTTCGGACATAAGTTCGATAACTGAGTGCATAAACCTAGTCCATTGTAAGGTCCTTGCCCACAACATGCTATTTCCGATGTCGTAAATCCTGTTCCGAAGTTTAAATTTATTCCGATACGAGTGTGAGTGTTAGAAACGAGTATTTATTTCGATTTTTATTCGAGTATAGGGGAGTTCGGAGAGGACGTACCAAAGGCTTGGGGGTCCGAAACAAAATCATTGTGCATTCTTTGAGTATTTGCACTAATGAAAACATCTTTGCCAATATCAGCATTGAGTCCATTTATCATTTCAACAAGCTGTGGATTGTACAAGGAAGCTGCTCGTAGTAGTTCTTGCGAGCATCCGCCATTGTTACCTCTCATCGCCAGTTCGGCCGGGACACATCCCAACGGTCCGGTGCCCGTCACAAGTACCCTTCGTGCTCCCAGTTTGTATAGTTTCTTCAATTGAACATAAAACCAAGAAAGGATCAGTACATTATGACATTCACACCGAAAGTCGCGTGACATTATAGCTAATATCCTTACCATCAAGAGGTTTTGGTACTCGGAAATGAGGAACTTGACATAATCAGGCAAACTGTATTGTCTGGATCTCGCAGAGAAGGGGACCAAGTAATAGTTATTGACGAAATCGTTACCGCCGACGGTGATCAAGACGAGTGCTTGGCTTACGAGTCGATGAGCTTGCTTCGATCCGACCAGAGTCGATAATCTTCGCTTGTATTCTTGAAATAACTCCAACTGTCTGTACATTCTCAGTATATTTACCTGCAATTCCAACATTTTAGGACACCATTTGTTCTTCAAACATGGCATCTATATAATATATTTTACTTACAAATTGGACTCCAGTGTCATTAAGTATTCCCACACCAGCTGAAGCAAAGTTGGCACCAACAAGCAGCTTTTTCCCATTAAAATCTGGGCTCAAATATGGCAATGGTGATTCTGATAAACCGATTTGCTTACCTGCAAAGCATCCAAATGACATAAATAAACAAAAACAAAAGATTTAGATTGCAGTCACGGTTAACAAGTATTAGAAACTTAACCAATCAGGTCTGGGATGTTAAGGCCATTAGAGAAACGCCCTGTGGGTCTTCCCGTCGGATAATCGATGCCGTAAGGTGGCGAATCAGCACGAGCCGTGGTTTCAAGGTAGTTATTGTTGCCGCTGTCGACAAGTGAATCCCCGAAAATGAAGAAAGCTCGAGCCTCGGCAACAGCGGCTATGCACCCCAAGGCCGCCATTGACAAAGCCAAGACCATCGACAAAGCCAAAGAAGCCATTGATATTGTCATAAGAAAACCAAAGAAGACTTGTATTGTAATAAGAAAACAATGAGGTTGCTTTTTATAGAGCAGGAACTTCAGCCACCATCGAATTAAAGAGAAGGTAACAAAGCAAAAAGGGAAGCTGTTTTTGTGGTTGAACATAATTTGTACCAACTTTTGCCACCTTTACTAGCAAATTTATTGCCTAGTGTTGCATTATTTCTCGATAAATCTGTCTGTAATGGTAACTCCGACCAGAATAGGCTTTTCGATGATATAAATTTGTGTATACGATACTTGCTGTCGGTCTCGTGTGGCTCATCAATGATAAGCGTGGCCTAAGATGGCCTCAACAAAGCTAAAGAAGCTAGACGGAGATCAAATTGATAAAATCTCTGATTAGTAATTACTCGGATCCTACACATTCAACTTCAAGATATGATTTAATAGAACCCATTGAGTGACCTCAATGGTTTTAAAGGAAATATTATTCTACTTGGAGAACTTAAATTCGAATAGCTACGTTTGCATGATACATGTACATTATCAATAAACTAAGAAAATTCATATCCACACTCACACTCCAATACAAGAAATATAGACATAAAGTGGTACGATTGCATGCATAAATACAATATACTTCGAGGATCACCGGCAAAATCCCTATGCATTTTTGTATTTGCATCATCGAAGGGTGAACTACAAGCAATAACTGGGATTTTTTTATAATGAAAACAATCAACAATTGATTGAGTTAATAATAAATGCATGTCCTGATTTTTATTTTTATTTTAAATCTAAATTCTCATTTCTTCAAATAATAATAAAATACATAAGGTTTATAATAAAAGGGATTCCTTTCGCATCTGTCCATTCTTTTTCCAAAATAAATTAACATTAAAAGAAAAAGAAAATAAGTTTACAATTCTAAATTGACAAAATTTACTGCAATGGTTTACAAACAAAATACAATTAAAACAAAAACTCAAAGCTATTGACCTATGTTAACCTGGAGTATTCATTTTCCCTGGGACATACAAGTGCACGATACATATTCGAACATGAGCATCCGTCTTCATTTTGCATATTCGACACTCATCTCCGAATCTGAATAAAAAGATCTGACTCGGATAATATATTTGATAACTAACAAGAGCATTTTGAAGCCTTATCAACACAGGAAACATGCACTTCTTGAGGGTGTGGTATCCCGATGCTCAAGACCTTTCAAGAACGACCGAATCGCAAGATGCTCCGAAGCATATGTCATGAAAGAAGCTAGAATAAGCCCTCCAACCACCATTAGACCCAATCTGGTGAGAAAATGTCATGGATAATGTTAAAAGGGATTTTCAAACATTAGATTCAAGGTAATAACTCCTAAAACGCTCCATGATCATCTATGTTGGTCCGACTCCTTGTCACTCGTAATCTGGTTAGAATGCAAAAAAGGTATGACATGAATATTTTTTTATAGGAATAGGAGGCCTCATTAAAAACCTCCCTCATAGTTAGCTCTTATGAAGAGGTAACTAGCGGAAGGAGGAAAAGAGTGTCTCAATTTATAGATTAACCATAATTACATAGAGTACACCTTACAAAATACCCGAAATAAAACATAAAACATTACAACCATAAGACTGCACACATTCAACCAATGCCCTCCTTAGCTAACTTATCTGCCTCCCAATTACAACTCCTAGGAATCAATCTAACAATAATCTCCCTAGCAGACACTAATGCTCCAATTTCCTCAACCAAAGACATGAAAAACGTAAGGGCAGAGAACGGTGCCAAAATCCAGTTCACTGCAGTTTTACAATCACTCTCTATGATAAGTCTTCCCTTCAAAGCTCATTCAGAAGAAAGGAAAAAATCAATTCCTTCTTTAATGGCTTTCAACTCAGCCAAAGTAGGAGGACATGGCCCAACAGAAATATTGAATGTGGATAAAGTATAGCCGATTGAATCTTTCAAAATTCCTCCAATACCGCCCTGCAACCCATCACTTCTAACAGCCCCATCGACATTGAATTTAAAAAAATCAGGTGGAGGTGGAAGCCAGCATTGAACCGTATTTCCCTTAGATGCTTTAAAACGTATCATGTCTGCAAGCGAGGGATCCCCTACTAGTACATCAACATGAATATCAACCTGAGGGAATTTATCTAAAAACCATTTAGCCAATCTAAATATGGAAATAAAGAAAAGAGAAAAACTGTCAAACTTCCAGTTTTCAAACACAACCAAGTTCCTAGACTTCCATAATGACCAGAAAATAACTCCCGGGATAAAACCCCACCTTGTAACTTCAATTCCAAGTCATTTATCATGCTTTCCACTTCTGAAATAGCTGCAGAAATCCCCATTTGGTTATTGCTAGGCCACTTTCTAATCACATGTTTGGTTCCTTGTAGTAAACTAAACAATCCCCTTCGCCCATTCTCCTTCTTCAATTTCGACAAGGAATTTTCAACCAACCCAACAAATACATCTTCCTCTAGCAGGTAGTTAAATAACCGAAAAGGCTTTGGTCCCCAGTTTTGGCATTATTCTTCTAACACCACTAGATTATGATCGGATAGGGATTTGGGTAAAATTTTTTGGATCACTTTCGGAAAGCAATTTAGGAAGTTCCCACTTATTAACATCCGATCTAGCCTTTCCCAAGTGGGAGACTATTATTGCACCAAGTAAATGTACCTCCTACTAACGGTAGATCCGTAAGATTTAAATGTTGAACAAAGGACCTAAACAAATACATGGAATGCCAATTCTGTGCCATTCCACTTTTCTCCTGTGGATGGAGATGAGCATTAAAATCCCCCCTATGCAATATGACAGGTCTAAACTTTGCACAAAACAACTCAACTCCCTGAAAAACTCTTCTTTATCAGCCTCTACTGACGGACCATACACGTTTATTATAACACACTCAAAATTTACCACCTTGAACTTCCCTGTTAATGCCATAAATCTACTATGCTTATGTTCTTTGTTGACCTCAAACAAACACAGCAAGCCACCAGCAGACCCATCAACTGGCTGAATACTACCACCTTTCATCAAATTTCCCCCTAACTTCCTCCATATTCCATTTCGACAAATGTTTAGTTTGGTCTCCTGTAGTAGTAAAATGACCGGTTTTTCTCTAATTACAAGTCTTGAAACTGCTTGATTTTCCCCCTTTTCCCAAGACCTCTTAACATTCCAGGAAATAATTTTTATCTTTGACATTTAAATTGAATGACATAAAAACCAAATCAACCATAAGAATATAATCAAGATCCCTTTGCTGACTCCTTCATCTCCATCTTGAAGATTTCCTCTTCTAGTAGCTGTTGCCCCCTTTAAATGTGATCCCCAACATATCACAAACTTCCCTAGTAGCAACAGCTTCATTCCTAGCTTTAACAGAAAAATTTGTAGACTCTGATGATGCCCTATGCTGTTCCAGAGAATCCCTGACCATATTCCTGAACACCCTTCTATAACATCTATCATAAAAACTAATAGATACTTCACCCTTCGAACACAAACTTCCTGAACAACTTGAAGCAATTTTCAACTTCCCCTGCTTGTACTTAATCTTTTTTTAATGTACTTAAAAAAGATCTTTTGGGGGGTCATACATTCATACCTATATGCAAATATGTATTAAACATTGGAATCAGACATTGGTAAGCACTTCAATAAATATGAAGAATCAAAGTAATATAGCCGAGTCTTCATTTTTCTTGCCATACTCATGTTCGGCATCTGTATCTAACACTTTCAAAAATCCTCTAAGTCATGAAAAACATAGAAAGAAATGCTGCTCGAATTAGATATATACCCATACCCGACACTTTCAATTGGGTCCCGACCAATATAGATGACAAAAACATATGAAGAGATAACGCCAGCACTTATCATCTTCCTTTTTAAGTTTCTTCCTAAAGATTAAAAACCTTGAAAATATTTTCTTTCATAAAATCATAGAACAAAACAAGAACATGTCAATAGGAATTACCTCAAGAACAGAGCAGTGATCCCAAAAATACATGGTAAGGATGGGGTGGCGATAGCCAAAAATGCCATCCCGAACCCATAGTACCAAGTAGCAACATCACAAGAGGATGCATGCCGCTGATGACCTGAAAAGAACATATAAGAATTATCAATCAATATTACATTAAAGAGAAAAGGGAACTAACATCGTCTTTTATCATGATCATGCACAATAAATTATGTATTTGATCTAAGTTGATAACCTTTTTGAGATTCAGAATCAAAAGAATTTGTATAAGAGGAAACTGATCCTAATCGAGTTGTTGTTCTCCTTCCCCACTGATAAATCAAATGAATAAAAGCTCCGAACAAAAGAAAGAAGATCGTAAATGTCCACTCATACATCAAGAGTAAACCAGTCCACGGCATCACTTGTCGAGGCACAATTGCTATACCAATTCCAAGGGACACCACAGCAGCCATAAAACAAACGAAAATTGAGATCCCGCCAAGGTAGGGCGGCACCTTGGTCTCTCCCCTGTTAGGAAACTGGATCACACCAAAATCAAATAATAGAGTTGAGTAAACTAATAAGTTCACATCGAATATCAGTAGATGGGTAACAAGATATAATCAGACATGAAACAATTCAGCTTAAAAGATAAAGGAATGAACTAACTTGATTGTTTGCATTAATAGTGGAAGATGAAGAAACACCCGTGTAAGCCGTTATTCTTCTTGACCTAATTGGGTAGTAGAAGTGTCTGATCTGATTGCCTAATGAAGTTCTGCAAACTGAAAACCCTGTCTGCACCGAAAAATAATATGGTTTGGGAGTGGGACAACATTCGTAGAGTAGGAATTGAATTGAGAAAAAGCAACATCAACAGTCACTAACCTGAAGGAAAGAATGATAGTAACAAAAAAGAAGAGCACAGAAAGGTAAAACAAAGAGGAGTTTGACCAGAAGCTCGTCATGAGGATTTTTGCCTCCACCAGTTCCAGGAAGCGATTCTTCAAGTTGTTCCCTAACATTCTGCAGAATTTGTAAAAACATTATTTGACATTTATCCCAATTTGCAAAAAGGATTGGGAACACACTGGAGCTTTTCATATAAATTGTGAAGTCTGATAATACCTGCCAGACATCAACTGGTTTTAAGAGCCAAGATGTCCACCAATCCCAAGGTTTAAGAGGGCCAAGAGTATAGTGAATAACACGAAGTTCACTCTCATCTACCATCCACTGCAAAATAATGCATAAAGTGATAAGGACACTTAACCAGAAAATAAAAATTATAATAGGTAAAAGCAGGACTTTGTTTCCTTTCTCGGAATTGTACAAGTTTCTCATAAAGGGAGTAGCAACCTGCAGGATCATGCTCTTCCTAATGGTTGCAAATGCATTTTCTTCTCCTGTTAAATTTAATGAATGATTGAACCTAACCAAGCTTCTCTTCAAACCATTTTAAGGGAGGATTTATTCTAATATTTTTACTAATGAAACTAAATTTCTTTGTTAACTTCAATAACACAATGTGTAACATGTGAAACAAAACTGACAACAGTACATAAGCATGGCATAAAGTTTAACACATAATAGTAGCATTGATATATGTAATAGTACCTTGTTCGCAAGCATGTAAAGACCAACATCAGCATTATATAGAGTGGAGAGACGCTGCATCTTAGGAGCAGGTCGGGATTTCAATGCCTCCAGAGACATATTAGGATCAAAAACATGCGCATTTGGAAAATCAGAGTAATAAGAATTCAGAAATCCCTGATCTCCTCCAGTATAAGACGGAAAAGTTTTAACTTTGGCTATCATGTCATTGAAAACAGCTTCAGATGGTTCCACTACCATAACTCCAGAATTCAGCCTTTCAGAATGCTTCAAATTGGCACAGAATTTCTCACATTTAAAGAGATCTTCGATGCTTTTGACTACTATAGTATCCGCATCAAGATATACAACTACACAAGCAAAAGTCCAAGTGTGAAACATGTAATCAATCAGAAGAAACATTGCAATAGAAGGAATAGTGGACTAAAAATCTAGAATAGCAAGAGGTGTAACAAAATCTTGATTCTAGCAAAACAATAATGCAAGCATAATCTTCTCATGGAAGTTTTTTTTTTTTTTTGAAATTTATCATGGAAGTTAAATAAAACATATTTTCAAGTTTTCCAAGTTTTTTCCATATACTTTAAGGATTTACCACCACCCACCCATACCCATATATGAATATGGGTTGGACAAGAATACCTCAAGGGAAATGACAAGTTTGTGTGACATAGATTTACCATCTGTAAAGCTTATATAGAGATAGTGATATTAAGCCAAATATAAGCTAAACCCAACTATATTCATCCTTAATCCTACCTATTCATGTCCTCTAATAAACAGAAAAATGAACAATAAAGAAACAAAAAAAAGGATTTTTTTTTACCTTTCTTGTAGTTAGTCATATTAAAAATTTTCAATTTGGTGTAAACACCCCAAAACCTCTTTGGCCGAACTTGATTTGGATTCTCCAATAAACTTATCTTCTCCACTATCCATCCATCAGCCTGTCCAATTATCCACCAACGAAAAACAAAAAGTTGAAACAGGTATAAAAAAATTAAAACTTCATGTTCTTATACCAAAAAAAGAAATTACTAACAAACTAACAGAGAATTAACTATATAGCTTACAAGTTTCCAGTAATAGAATTGAAAAGGAAGTGAATTTAGCTAACAAAACATCGATTATATAGCTTACAAGTTTCCATAATCAGATATGAAAAAGAAGTGATTTAGTTATTCTTTCAGAAAAAAACGTGAAGTAACTAACTTTGAGGTAGTAATTTTTCTTAGGGAACTAACGGAAGGAAACGGATCGCCAAATTTTACCTTGAGAAGTTTCTTGGCATAATCAGAGACGCCATCAGAGACCAAAACGACCATGTCTTTAGATGATCCAGTGTTCTTTATCGATTTCCCCAAAACCCTAACCCCCAATAGGAACTCATCTCCGTAAAGCAGCGTCACATAAGCTTCATCCTTTGAAGTTTGAGCTTTAACCCCCAACAACGCCTTGGATTGGATCGTAATCAGAAGGCACAGAAACAGGACCCAGAATTTCGGGAGTTTCATACTATCTGAGCCTTTTCTCGAGAAAATTATCTGTGGTTTCTCAAGAAAATGATCTGTTGTTTCGATTTTTACTTCTTTTGGATTGAATTAAGTCTGAATTTAAACGTTGACGAGCGTGAGGAATTTGAAGGAGATGGAAGAAAGATTCCCTTTTTGTAACATTGTTCACGGTTACGGTGTCGTTTTGACATCAGACTTTTCTTCCATGTGGCGATTTAGTTGCCAATTCTGAATTTATTTTGACATTATTTTCGGATTTTCGATGTTTGGGTAATGTAAAACAGTTTGGTAAAGGGATTTTTCTTTTGGGTTAATGTAATTTTTGGTATTATATAAAAAATGTTATACTATCATTTTTTTTATAATATATTCTTTTATTTTCACTTCATGGTATTAAGATAAAAAAAAAAGTGAATCTCAGTCTCAAGATGAAACAAAATTCAAACTTGTTTCTATTTCTTTCAAGGGATAGAGAATCAGAATAAATATTAGTAACAAATTGCGAGGAACAGGAAAAAAAAAAGAATTGGCCTGGATCCTTAATCTCAGTCTGCTTTTTCGTGACTCTACAAAAACATATAGGATATATGTGGCTTTGATCGAAAAAAGTGGAATTTAACCGTGACGAAACCTGTTAATGCGTGTAAGATATACGTTTTGATTGAAATGGTATGCGAATAATTACACCAAAAAGGAAGCACCGTCTCTTACCAAATGGGGTAGTCATCCCTTCTTTGAATCCGCAAGCCTTGAGAGATTCTCGTAACTTCGATTCTGATCTTCACCTTTCGAGGTTGTACCTCGGGAGAGAGACGATCTCTGCTCAGATCCTGAATGGAGTCTCTGACCTGCGAGGCGACTACTACCCGAAAGAAGCCAACTTGATCTACTATCACTGGGACCAACAGAAGATGTGTGCTTGCTGCTTGAGGCAACAACCTTCTTGGACACGCTGCTAGGGCGGGTGGAAGAAGTCCGTGCCCTTCCCGAATCATTATCCTGGGAACAGGAATTTTGAGAGATTAAAATAGTCATCAGACAGAAAATGAATTCTACAGGTATTCTTATAGTCAAAGATATGGATGCAGCAAAATTATTTCGATCGGTATTGGAACTGGGAGTAAATGCAACAAAGTTGAAGGTAATCAATGGCTACCACATCCTTTGATGGTGATACCTTCTGCTTTGAATCACAATGATGTCCACTACCTGAAGCACATTTCCCAGTAGATACCTCAACAGCACCTGAAGATCTATCAAGGATTTCTCGTCCCACTAGTCAAAACATGTAAGAAGCAAGGGAAAAGACATTAAAATTAACATAACACAAAGGGTAAAAAATTGCTTACATAAAGTTACAATCAAGAAACTGATTAAATCACCCTGGTGTAAAAAGGCAAGGCATCCCAACCTTATGCAGAATAATTGTTAAAGTGAATTGTGTCTAGAAGTTGAAACTCTAAAAAACTACAAAAACCAAGTACTTCAAACACATCTTTATCAGTCCAAACAATTTGGGTTACACAATACCACCTCTCAAGAGAATGAAGCCCACCTGGTGGCCTCTCTGGTCTTTCAGTAGATGCTCCGGCATTTAAAGCATCTCTCCCACTTGACAGCTGAAAAGACGCAAGAAAAGAAGTAGGAATAGTCTGTGATAGGAGAAATGTACAACTCAAGGTTGACAAGCACTGACCCCTTTGTTTAGAGCTGGCAGTGAGCTGGGGATACTTGAGAACTGTCCAGTCAAAAACATAGTCAAACTGATATCCTGTGGAGAAATCACCCGGAAGTGAAATAAGGCATATACATTCCACTAGCCTTCAAAGAAATGCAAATGATATTTTTATATTTTACTCGCAACTATATCATGCTTCTCAACATCTTGGAACTGGGAAAACTAATTTCAGTTAGCAACAGAATGCGCCCGCAGACACAACATCCATACTGCTATAACAAACTGTGTTCACATGTATTAAATGCATCTTGACAGAAGTTAAGATACTACTCAATTAGTTAAAATCCTTGTTCATTTTCAAGGTGTATGAATTACATACTGATAATCGAGTGGAACAAATTATGGACAACCACCAATCTATGCAGAGTTTGTGAGACCTTAAATGTCCCCTACAAGCAACCAGAAGACACTAGAAAGCAAGGTCATCAATTTTCCAGAGAGCAACACACCTAATTAATGCACAAAATTTATGTGCATTACAGCCGTGCCTTGAGTGGTAACAGTTCTTGGAGAGACCCACACTGACTGAACCATTCACATTTTTAAAACATTCGGCATTATAGAGGATGTAAACATCTAACTTCCAGTATTAACTGAGGTACGAGAAAAGTATTTTAAATATGAAACTAAAATAAATGGGTTCTTACCTTCTCGAATAAACAAGTCACGGAAAAGCCTCTTCAAGTATGAATAATCTGGCTTATCTTCGAAGCGTAGTGAACGACAATAATGGAAATATGATATGAACTCTGATGGATATGACTTGCAAAGTACCTAAAGGTAGAATTGCATATTTTATGTGATTAGTAAAATATAAAGTACAACAACAGGGTAAGAGACCAGTTTTGCCTTGCATTGAATATTCAGAGTTCAATGCAAATTCACCATGAATTAAACTATAAGCATAACATCCTACACAGAAGTGATGATTTGAAATTAAAATTAAAAAGAATACCTCAACAGGAGTAAGCATCTTCTTTTCACTGATTTGATCATACTTCTGTTTTTTCGTCCCTGCCTTCAGGCCTTGCCAGGGAAGGCTGATGCCAGCAATACACCAAGACCACGACTAATGAGAAATATTTTTCACATCAACAAACTGATAACACAAAAAGTAATATTTCTTTTATTGTTATGACCTTCCTCGTAAGAAATACATGAGCACGTAACCAAGTGATTCCAAATCATCTCTGCGGCTTTGTTCTGCACATCAATCGCAAAACAATCAGATTACATAACACATATCACGAATAATATAAGCAAGCAATGACAATATAATAATTGATGTGTCACTTTACCCACCAACTCCAAGGTGAGTGTTTACGCTTGCATATCGAGCTGTGCCTGTAAGATTCTTGTTCTCTCTGTGAAGATTGCAAATGCACGGAAGTTGAAGCAAATGTTAAATGTGAATAATTATAAACATCTCCAATAAATAAAATAAAATAACACTGAAGCTAATCCTAGAGGCTTGCTAAAATGTGATACCCTTTTAGATTAATTTGCAAGCAAAAGCAGGACAAATACCACGAGTGTCATTTTGAAAGGACAGTGGTAACTTGCTTTATTGGCTTGTTTAGGTAGATGGTATTCACAAGGAAGGTTGCAATTGGTTCACAAATATCCATCTCTCTGATTAAAGCATTTCACGTAGAACCAATGAACATGCAAGATAAATGGAACAGCAGGAACCCGGTGCTAATCGTGCCACCATTAGGGATAAGAAAAAAATGACAAATGTATACCTATAGGATATGTGTTTATGACTTTGTAGATCCCTATACTTTTTCGCAAGGCCATAATCAATGATATACACCTGTTACAAAAACAATTTGATGGTTAGTAGCAAGTAGAGGCTTTTGTAACGGCCCTCAATATACCAAGTAACTACAGCTGCAAAAACTTATGAAAATATACAAGTAGGGCAACCTACAAGTTATTGACAATTAGCTACACACGAGAAATTGAAACGAAATTCAATATGCAACTGGTAAGTGACACATGGCATAGACATGCAATACTCAAATAATACTTGAGTCAACAAAAGGTAATTTTAAAATCCTGTGCATCATTAAAATACATTGTACTTCCCCGCATGTTATTTCAATAACTAATATTTACTCTTCGTCAAAATAAAATGTTGCACCATATTTAAGATGCAATAATGCCTATGTGAAAGCTTCATGGAAGAAAAGCATGTAGATTCATCCACAATACAGCATCTTGCAGATGTATCCTCTCTTTTTGAACGCCTCAGTTAAACAGGGTACATTTCAGATAACTTACATTGTGCAGGAAAGAAAAGATGGCTGAAAACACGGTTTTCTTTTCAATCTCTCTTAATGTAATCTGAAACATTAACTACTGTATGTGCATAAAGACTTGGATGTGATGAGATAACTGAATAAGATAATATTAAGTACTTACCGGTGTTATCAAGATATAAAATATTAAATTTCACTGTCACAATTTCCACCTTTCCTTTTGTTATCAACTGTGAAGCCTGATAACATTTAAAAGGAGTGCACACCACTATCTAGAAAGTGAAAGCTTGCATTAGCTCCAGTACCTGATTTGCTTTTCGACCCAAACCCATTAGAAAGTTGTCAGGTTTTATATCACGGTGAAGAAATCCCCTTGAGTGCATATATTCAATTCTGTTGATCTAAAGAGTAAAGGAAAAGACACTCATCATATCCGATGCTAATATAAGCAGGAAAAAAAATATCTCCAGAAGAAAGTTAAACATACTAACTGATCTGCAAGCATTAACACTGTTTTCATAAAGAGCTTGCGATTGCAGTAGTTGAACAAGTCCTCGAGGCTTGGCCCTAGAAGCTCAATAACCATAACGTTGTATTCACCTTCAACTCCAAAGCACTTCAGCTGGGGAATCCCAGCTTCATCAAAACAAAACAAAAAAGGAACTTTAGCTAATTCATTTCAAAGTGAGTTATTTTCTTCACAACTCACTATAGTTATTAAAATAAATAATCAGCAGAGTAACCTTACTTCCGCCTTGAAGAAGCATGTATAACTTCGACTCATAATGAAGTTGAGGGTGCTTGGTTTTCACATGTTCCTGAAGATTTAGGGTTAAAAGAAAGGTCCAATGTGATCAAAATGTAAACAAGATTAAGGTAGGCAATCAAGAAACATTCTAAATTTACTTTTCATAAAATTTCAGCACGAGAATGGTTCTTTTTATTCTATAATGCATAGCATTGTTGCAAAATCTAAAGTACTTATATGATGAAAAAATCTCAGAGTAGTTCCATTTTTCGTTAGTTTAGGATTTTTTTTATGTATCCCTCAGCGAAACAGTTTTGAGGAGTCAAAAAACTTGCAAATGCCCCAAAAATCAATTTGTCTTTTAATTCATTAATACTATCTAATGCGTGATAACCTTAATATTTTAGCATCCATCCAATCCGGATACCAGGTCAAAACTTCATCATAGGTCCATGTTCTGGTCCTATAAATTTTCAACTCACAACTTACTCAATGACTAGATGCATTGAGAGATTAGAATGCATACTTATAATAACTTATTCAAACACCAACTGGTTCCATTGATATTGCAAATACAACAAGCTGAACTCAAGCACACCTTAATTCAGTGGTTGAATTACAAAACTAATCCTAAAAGTTCCATATACCCGGTAATCATATACCAAAATATAAAATCAGTGGAACAATAACAAAACTTAATCAAATTTACTAAAATTTAATTCCAAAAGCAATAAGTCCCATACCATCTTTATAGCAACTTCTTCCCCCGTTTGTGTATTGACTCCTATCAAGAGGCGGGGGATTAAAAACCGAATGCAAATCGTATTAATCATTTTAATATAAAAGCTAAAGATTCAGAAAAGGAAGCGAAAGAGATTTACCGAGGAAAAGCTCGCCGAAAGATCCAGCTCCGATCTTTCGACCTATTTTGAAATTTCCTCCGACGATGCGATCCATTTCCAATTCTATTGATTAATCACCAAAAATTATTCAATAACTGAAATAAAAATTTACAATCAGAGGATTTTATGACAAAATGGGCTCGAAATGGGAGAAATAAAAGGCAGAAAATGTTGGATCGATGAGCCTCATTGCTGAATATAAATGAAAAAGGGGGGGAGGTGAATAACATTCGAGAAAATAATCAATAGAAAACCAAGAAAATATTTATCAAATGAATATATGAAAGAAGGCGGGAAAAAATATAGAGAGGGAAATAAATAAAGAAAAAAATGTAAGATTTCGGTACTAAAGAATGGAAGTGAAATATATTCAATTTTCTATTTTATTGCTCTCTGATTTCTTTTTTTTTTTTAAATTCTTGCCATTTTATCTTGTTTGTCTCAAACTTCCATTTCGTTGTATACGGTTAAGAAGACGGCTCGAGCAGCCACGTGACGAAAACGTGCATGGTAACTTTAATTTTTTAAAAACGTTAAACTATACAGATGGTTTTTTATAGTTTTTATCTAACCGATTTTAGTCATCATATCAAAAAAAATAGTGATTTTGATCCCTTATATTGGTATGTTCAATTTTAGTCCTTCAGCCGTTAACTCACATTGTTCCCTGACGGAAATGTTATCCTACTCCTCCTCCTCCTCCTCCCATATGCAAAGCTGAATACTTTCGGACGTTAATGTAAATCAGACCCATTACGTAATATTGTCTATAAAAAGCACCACAAAACTTATTCTGAATCATTTCGTTCATCCCCATCAAATTCCTCCACAACATTAGAATTACCTGATGCGAGGAGACCTCCATTTGGATCATCAGCAGCAGCAAATGCAACCATGGCCTGTTTCTGTCCACCTAGTTGCGCAACTTGTGATCTATCCTGCTGACCTGGTTCCACATTGTGATCTATCAAGTAGGGAAAATCTTATTTCTACTATCTTATCAGTTGAACATTTTGTTCTCTTTCCAGTTTATGTTACGAACTTAGTTTTGAATTGAACTTTGGTTAGACAAAGTAAGCGAGTAATGGCTAGAATTCTGTGTTGCTTTAAGCATGCATTATTATTAATGTTTATCTGTTAAAAGTTTCAAAGTTTGGCAACTAACTTTGGAAAATGTTTTTTTCAAAGTTTGGTAAATGTTTCTTTGAAAAATGTTTTTCAAAGTTTGGTAAAATTTTGGTAGATGTTTGTTGAAAATAGGAATGGGTAAATTCACTTTAGTCATTGCACTTTAGGGTATTTTCAAAGATTAGTCCCTAAGTTTCTACTATAAATACCCTTAACCTTTAGCTTCAAAATCATCCCAAAACATTTCTTCTTCCTATACTAGAGCTGAGACGTAAGCACAATTGGCTGAACTCCGTTATCAATTTCGGGTATTATTTTTCCGCTTATTTCGCATTCTCACTAATCTGGTTATAGAAATTACTTGTACTCGGTTTTTTCCTAACACTGGTAATCAGAGCTTTTGGTTGTAATTTTGTCAAATTTTCTACGAGGTTACTATTCATTACTATTCACGCGAATAGTGAATTTCATGAATAGTGAAATTCGGTCGGCGATACGAGTTTGTCGACGGTGGTGTTCTAATACACGGTGATTCGCAAGAATTGTCAGAAACGATCCAAACGAAGCCAGATTCGAGTGGAGCGATGGCTGCAGACGAAGGGAAGGTGAAAATTGAAAAGTTCGATGGTGCGGACTTTGGCTTTTGGAAGATGCAGATTGAAGATTTTTTTGTACCAGAAAAATTATATCAACCTCTCTCAGGAAAGCAACCAGGCATGAAGGATGAAGATTGGGCTCTTCTTGACAGACAAGCCCTCGGAGTTATCCGACTGACGTTATCCCGCAATGTTGCTTTTAACTAGCAAAGGAAAAAAAACCACGGCGGGTCTTATGGCGGCTCTCTCCAGTATGTACGAGAAGCCATCGGCCTCAAACAAAGTTCATTTGATGAGGCGATTATTCAATTTGCGGATGGCGAAGGGGCATCGGTGGCACAACACCTAAATGAACTCAACACAATCACAACCAGTTGAGTACAGTGGAAATTGAGTTCGATGATGAAGTTCGAGCTTTAATTCTCTTATCATCTCTACCAGACAGTTGGAATGCTACTGTTACAGCAGTCAGCAGTTCGTCGGGAAACAGCAAATTAAAATTCGACGATGTTCGGGATCTGGTATTGAGTGAAGAAATTCGACGAAGAGAATCGGTGAAGCATCAACCTCCTCAGCCTTACACACGGAGTCTAGAGGGAGAACTTCATAAAGAAATTCAAATCGTGGCAGATCAAAATCTAGAAGGGGCAAATCAAGAACAGGAAATAAAGATTTTACCTGTTATAATGCGGCAAAAGGGTCACTTCAAAGAGATTGCCGAGCACCGAAGAAAAATACCGGTGCACAGGAATCTGCCAACATGACGGAGGAGACAGGTGATGCCATGATTTAAGCGTCAACAGTCCGATTGAATCATGGATCTTGGATTCAGGGGCATCTTTCCACTCCACCCATGCCGAGAAATCATGGAGAACTATGTCAGTGGTGATTTTGGGAAGGTTCATCTAGCTGATGATGAAACCTTGAAGATCGTCGGAAAAGGAGACATCCGACTAAAGCTGCCAAACCAGACCACCTGGAAGACAGGAGTGAGACATATTCCCGGCCTCAAAAGAAATTTGATTTCTGTTGGACAGCTTGATGGAGAAGGATATAGTACAACTTTTTCAGGCTGTGAATGGAAGATTACCAAAGGAGCACTCGTCATTGCTCGTGGTAAGAAGACTGGTACTCTATGTAACCTCCAATTAGAGATATCATTGCAGTAGCAGATGCTGATGGAAAATCAAACCTATGGCACCAAAGGCTCGGCCATATGAGCGAGAAAGGAATGAAGATACTTCTGTCAAAAGGGAAGCTGCCGGATCTAAAAAATGTAGATGTCGGACTATGCGAGGATTGCATCTTTGGAAAACAAAAGAAAGTCAGTTTTACAAAGATTGGCAAGACTCCCAAGGCAGAAAGGTTAGAATTGGTTCATACTGATGTATGGGGACCATCCCCTGTTCCATCTCTTGCAGGCTCACTATATTATGTCACCTTCATCGATGATTCAACAAGGAAGGTGTGGGTTTATTTTCTGAAGAAGAAATCAGAAGTCTTTGATACCTTCAGAAAATGGAAGGCCATGGTGGAAAATGAGACTGGTTTGAAAGTCAAGCGGTTGAGGTCTGACAATGGAGGAGAGTACAGAGACAGTAGTTTCAGAGATTTCTGTGCAAACAATGGGATCAAGATGGAGACAACAGTTCCCATAACACCGCATCATAATGGCGTAGCAGAGCGCATGAACAGAACTCTGAATGAACGTGCTAGAAGCATGAGGATACATGCCGGATTGCCCAAATTTCTATGGGCTGAAGCTATCAACACTGCAACTTACCTGATCAACCGTGGGCCCTCAGTTCCTTTGGATGGCGGAATACCAGAGGAAGCTTGGAGCAAGAAAGAAATAAACCTTTCACACTTAAGAGTGTTTGGTTGTATTTCTTATGTACACATAAACTCTGCTGAAAGAAGTAAACTTGATGTCAAGTCCAACAAATGCGTCTTTGTTGGTTACGGTGGTGATGAGTTCGGTTACCGGTTTGGGACTACGAAATCGAAAGATCATCAGAAGCAGAGACGTCATTTCAATGAAATGTGATGTACAAAGATAGGTCAACCGCAGAATCAAGTAATACCGAAGCTGAAACAAAGGAATTTGCTGAGTTCGAGGAGATTTCTGGAAATGATGTTCAGATCAATCCTGAAGCAGTTCAAGAAGAATCAGGCACACCAGAACTGAGACGCTCCTCCAGAATTCCTAAACCAACCCAACGGTATTCGCTCTTTGCATTTTGTTGCTGACTGACAATGGTGAACCAGAGTGCTATGATGAAGCAATGCAGGTGGAGGATTCAGTCAAGGGAGTCTTCCATGAAAGATGAGATGACCGCTTATGTCAAATCAGACGTGGGAATTAGCTGAATTACCACCAGGCAAGAAAGTGCTCCATAACAAGTGGATTTACAGGATCAAAGAAGAACATGATGGGAGAAAACGCTACAAAGCAAGATTGGTTGTCAAAGGTTTTCAGCAAAAAAAAGGTATTGACTACAATGAAATTTCTCTCCAGTCGTAAAACTGTCTACAATCAGACTGGTGTTGAAAATTGTAGCTGCGGGAATTTACATCTCGAGCAGTTAGATGTAAAAACAGCTTTCCTTCATGGTGATTTGGAGGAAGAGATCTATATGAGGCAGCCAGAAGGCTTCATAGAGGCAGGCAAGAAAAACCTGGTATGCAGGTTGAAGAAGAGCTTGTATGGTTTAAAACAAGCTCCTAGACAGTGGTACAAGAAGTTCGATAGTTTCATGAGTAGCAGTGGTTTTACCAGATGCCAAGCAGATCATTGTGCTACATCAAGAGGTTCGACAATAGTTTCATTATTTTATTGTTGTACGTTGATGACATGCTCGTTGCAGGCTCAAACATGCAAGAGATCATAAACTTGAAGCAAAAATTGTCGAAGCAGTTTGCTATGAAGGATCTGGGCGCTGCAAAGCAGATTCTTGGGATGAGGATCAAGAGAGACACAAAGTCGGGGACTTTGATGTTATCGCAGGCTGAGTACATCAACAAAGTACTCTCCAGGTTCAACATGCAAGATGCTAAACCAGTAAGTACACCTTTAGGTGTTCATTTCAGACTCTCCAAAGACCAATCACCAAAGACGAAGAGAAGAACGGCACACATGGTGAAGGTGCCGTATGCCTCAGCAATTGGAAGTCTGATGTATGCCATGGTTTGTACCAGACCAGATATTGCTCATGCAGTGGGAGCTGTTAGCAGGTACATGAATAATCCGGGCAAGGTACACTGGGAAGCAGTCAAATGGATCCTCAGATATCTTCGGGGTACCACAAACAAAGCACTTTGTTTCAAAGGTGGAGATATGATACTGACAGGCTATGTAGATGCTGATTAGCCGGAAATGTCGACATCAGAAGGAGCACTACAGGGTAGTCTATACTCTAGGAGGAACTGCAGTGAGTTGGGTTTCTCAACTACAGAAGATAGTTGCTCTCTCCACAACTGAAGCAGAATATGTCGCTGTTACGGAAGCCAGCAAGGAGATGGTTTGGCTCCAAAGTTTCTTGGAAGAGTTAGGCAAAACAAGAAAACAATATCTTGTATTGCGACAGTCAAAGTGCTATCCATCTAGCAAAGAATCCGTCTTTTCATTCCAGGACAAAGCACATACAATTGAGATATCATTTTATCCGGTCTCTTCTGGAAGATGGGATTTTGAAACTTGAAAAGATTAGTGGAGCTCAAAATCCGGCAGACATGTTGACAAAGACGGTGATTACGGACAAACTGAAGTTGTGTTCAACTTCAGTTGGCATGCTAGAATAACAAGACCAGACATGCTGCTGCATTGATCGAGGTGTGAAGACATATTAAAATCAGTCTTCAAGTGGGAGATTGTTAAAAGTTTCAAAGTTTGACAACCAACTTTGGAAAATGTTTTTTTCAAAGTTTGGTAAATGTTTCTTTGAAAAGTGTTTTTCAAAGTTTGGTAAAATTTTGGTAGATGTTTTGTTGAAAATAGGAATGGGTAAATTCACTTTAGTCATTGCACTTTAGGGTATTTTCAAAGATTAGTCCCTAAGTTTCTACTATAAATACCCTTACCCATTTAGCTTCAAAATCATCCCAAAACATTTCTTTCTTCCTATACTAGAGAGCTTTCTTGTGAGTAGTGAGTGTTTTGTAAACACCTGTAAATTTTCTCTCTTAGTAAAAGATCTGCAGCAGCCCGGAGACGTAAGCACAATTGGCTGAACTCCGTTATCAATTTTCGGGTATTATTTTTCCGCTTTTATTTTGCATTCTCACTAATCTGGTTATAGGGAAATTACTTGTACTCGGTTTATTTTCCTAACATTATCTGGTTTCAGGTTTCTGTTGAGCACTGTCCCAATGAAGTTTTCCTTCATTTTTGGTCAACCAGATGGTAAGGGAGAAAGTAAATTAATTGGTTCTGTACATCATGTGTTTCTTCCCTATTAATTTTTTTTAATTAATCAATTGTATCAAATCTATTGATCGATTAATATCTAGATCAGATATTATAGTGTTAATGACGATCCTCCCAATCCAATTTGATCAAATTATTAAAATATAAAAATAATTTGATTTTTTTTACTAATACAGAAAAAACAACGTCGACACACATATTATTTATACAAAAGCATTATTATTTGGACTTGGATAAGTACAGAATGAGAATCATTGATTACGTTAATCAAAGCAATATTTATCACGTGCATTAATCAATAACGTTGTTAATTTCAACCCAAAGAAAAAGCTCTATAAATTAATTACGTTTTTCTTAGTTTAATAAACATCAAAACCAAACCAATTACCTGTTTTATTTTCGAGGGACAGGAAGTTTATCGGAACTCACAATTCCAATGCTCAATGCATAAAATAAACTTAATAGTTACTTGAGCAAAGTGACAAGGCAAATGAAACAAAAACAAAGAAAGTGATTCAACAAGTCAAACATTATAGTTGAACTTGAGCCCACATATGTTAAATATCATTCTTTTTAGTATAAAATATGTAAATAATCATCTGAGTATATGACTTTTTTTCTCTTAATTATAAAAAGTTATAAATTAATCATCTTATTTAAAAGAATGATAAATAATTCGTTTATGTTATATATTTGACATATGACGATGTAATTTGACATAATAACAAATTTAATCTTTAAATTTTATATTTTTATTATAATTTGATCCTATTTTTCTAAAATGTATCTCTCAGCATTAAATGTTCTATCAATTTAATCTCTCCTCTGACCTATTTTTTATTTCTTCTCCTCTCTATTAGTTTTTGTACTATTTAATCTTCACATCAGAATATATTTGTTGTTGTCGCCACAGTAAATATCGTAGCTTCAACACAACCTTTCACACTTATTGATACCTCACTACATCACCACCATTCTAGTGTCTCAAACCCAATATCAACCCTCGATTGACTTTTCCTAACAACCTCCACGTCCACAACAACAAACAATAAGTAAATCTTAACACGATCAAAACAAAAATTAGCAAGGACAATAAGATTACAGAAAAGAAGAGAAGGAGACTCACCTTGATCGATTCGAAACTGGAATCTCTAACGAGACACCAATAAATTCAAACGGTGAAAGTCGTTATTGAAGGAAGATGAAGGTTCAATTGATGATATCATGTTCAATAGAAGATGGAAACATGATATCAAAAAATGTTTAAACATGTGATTTAGGGTTCATTTTAAGGCATGTGAGGTAGTTTCTAGCTAATTGATATCGATACAAGGAAAGTGGCAGCAAAGAGAAAGTGTTTGAAGTAGAATGACAGTGAAAGGAAGCGATAGTTCGAGTTTTCAATTTTATTTTTGATGAGTTTAAACCAATACAAAGAAATAGGACGAGAGAAGAGTCGATTTGTGTCGTTGAATGATCAGAGATGGCATTAGAGCATGGCGACATACGACAAAAACCCTAGTTTCAGGGGTAAATATGGTTTCAGCCTTTCAGGTATCACTCTCACTTCTTCTGTCCCATTTTGAATACTCAATTTATAACATCTTATGATTAAATTAAAACCCTCGTTTCAGGTATCATTTTCACTTCTCCTGTCCCATTTTGATCACTCAAGTTATTATACGATTTGGCAAGTGGAATCTCTATGAGCTTTTGTATTAAGAAAATACGTTTTCACGTTTGTTTTCGGTTTTTATTTTTATTTTTTTAAGTTAAAAATGAAAATTATATTTCATATGCAAACATGTGAAATGTATATATATCTTAAATAGCATGCAACTGATGATGCCTATCACAGCCATTCTAAACTGTCCCCTAAAAGACGAATTTGAAGGGTAGGTGCCACGCGGATACAGAGAGGAGTGAGCCGGGTAGTTATCCCTTTTAAAAAATTTAAATTTTTATATATTTTTATATTTTCTATTAAAAATCTATTCTCATCCCCAACTTTTATAATTACACCCTCTCCCTAACTTTTCTGCACCCACTTATCAAAGCAAAGCAGACCGTCTTATTTTGAAGCCAAAGCAATATTACAGAGAGTGTACAACTCAAACTTAACTGGAAAAACATGATAATTAATACCCGAATTCCCAATCCCATACAGACTAAGTTACAAACACGAAAACAATGATTGTTGGATTGTGTATATATTTGGTTGATTTTCGTTAAGATATTAAATATCTTTAGTTTGCTACTTACTTGTCGTCAACTGTCGCCGGCGGCGGAGCTGACGGCAACGCAGCAACATTCTGCTTAGCTCTCTTTCTCTTTTTCTCATAGCTAACTCCTCTTGCTTTGGACTGAAACTCCTTAACCTCCCTTAAGAAAACCCTAACAGCTCGAGCTCCGAAAGGGTTCATTTCAGGAACACATCCATGCTCCTCATAAGCAGCCCGGAGTCGACCTATGAGCGCATCGAGGCTTCCCCAGGCTTGTCTAAGGGGACAAGGGCAAGGACCGGGAGAGTTCGAGAGGCCGAAGAAAGGGCAAGTCTGGTTATGGACTTTGGTCTTGCCGAATTGATCCAGATACCTAAGGAACTCGAGGACATGAGCTCCACTACACGTTGAGAGTGACAATGGAGGCCTATGGTTTCTCAGGTATTGGCAGAATGTGTTCCAATCTCTTCGCTTTTGGTTCTCGTAGCGACTCGGAGCGGTCATTGGAGGCTTGGTTGCGGTGCTCCTGCTGATGTTGTTGGTAACTATGAGGCTCGGGTAGATAATATTCGGGTTGTTTTCTGTGGAAATCATCTCCATTTTCAGACAGCTTGTTGATGATGATGGTGTCTCTGCTGCTTGATTTGATGATCCTTTTTAGTGTTTCAGTTTACGGTGGCTATGATAGGTCAAGAGATGATGAAATGCAAGATTTGCATGGCTTCCAATGAGTAGCAAAAATGGGAATGAAAATATTGGAAAGTTTTGACTGAATCAAAATGTATATATACAAGTCTCCCTACTATCTTGGTTTGAAGTTGAACACTGCAATAAATTCTTCCAAGGACTGCAGTTTGTTAGTGTATGATTATGAAAAATATGATAAAAGAAATCACGAAAAATATCAAGATCGGTCTTCAGAGATCATCAGATTTTCCCCGGAAAAAGAGCTAACAAAAGAAAATTGTGGATAAAGTAAGAGTAGAGAGAGAGAGAGAATAGTCCAATAGGTCAAAGAGATTTAGAGAGAAAATGAAAAAGCCTATAGTTTTTAAATACTAAAAACAATGAGTGTAATCGACACTACTCCAATGTAATTACTATGAATTTACCTTCATACTAAAAAATAACTAAATAATAATCAAATCAATGGCATACTTATATGGGTGAAAATAAATAGTTGAGATTAATTTATTGTTATATATATAAAAAAATCTATTGGGTGTTTTTCATAATAAAAAAAATATTATCCGATTCAAGTTTAAATAGTTGTATTTGTAGGTTGTATATATTTTATTGACATGCTAAAAAAATTCGAAACATATAATACCTTATTATCGCTTCATACTAATAAAAAATATATATTATATATGAGAAGTGTGATGTGGTTTTAATAGGAACCTTCACAGCAATTGCCCGCATGCCTATCCATTTCACCAGAAACCTTGTAGGATAATCTATTAAAAAGAAAGGCTCTCTCTTTTGATATTCACATTCTTTTTTTCATCATAAAAACCAAAAAAACACAAGTATAACCTTTTTTTTAGTGTAAGAAAGTACAAGCTCAAGTTGTTGTCGATGGAGTCTATCTTTTTATAAAAACATAAAAACCAAGAAAGAGGGATTAAATTTGGTATTAATAAGGTTTTAAAGGGGTAAACAAGGAATATCAACAAAAATTAGGAAACTTCATAGCAATGGTCATTATCATCTGGGATAACTATTATTTATACTTTTCACTTCCAGAGTCAAAATCTTCTACTTCATATTATAAACACATGATTTGGTATCTTAATTTTAGATTGCATACATAATTTAAAGGATAAAGTAATAGAAGATCTCGTCTTAGTATCGGCATTGACAAACATAAATATCAGGACAAATGTACTAAATCTCATTGTTTTGAAAAAAACTTGTAAAAATTAGTTTAATGTGTTAAAAAGGAAAAAATTGTATAAAGAAAATATATATTAAATTTTTTTTTTGTCCTTCCGATTCCAAGGCTTGGCCTTGATTAATCTATATCGACTCGCGTTGCACGCCTAACTTTAGTGGGTGAGTCTTCCAACATAATTTTTTTTTGCATATACAAGAACTCAAACTCGAAACTTTGCTTAAGAGATAAATACTTAAAAATATAAAGAACCAATAATAAAATTTAAAAACAATATATTTAAAGAGAAAATACTTAAAAGATAAAGAGCTAATAATAAAATTTCATAACAATATGCCTAAGAGAAAATATATATTAAAATTTTAAATCTTTAATTTTAAAAATTTCTGAATCCGTAAGCAATAAATACTTAAAAAGATAAAGAACTAAATCAATATACATTTCATAACAGGGATTTAGTTGTAATTTTGCACCCTCAAACATGGTGACACCCTATGTTATTATTATTTACTTCTTGGTCTTATAATAATTTTATCCAAAAGTATGTTTTGATTTTAAAAAGTGTCGTCTCTTTTAATTTTTAAATATGTATTTACATATATCAAAATGAACTGACAAAGAAAGTAACAATCATATTAAGTTGATATGAATTATGTCTTTCCGCTAATAATAATACGAATATTGAATAATATGTATATATCGTTAAGTGTACTCAATAGTAAAAAGAAATATTATTCTCTAAAAGTCATGAATTTATTTTTAAAGATATTCGATTCGAAACGTTACATCTATAAGATATATGTTATTTTCTTTTAATTTTTAATTATTTATTTATTTGTATCAAAATGATGTCATGGGTTTATTATTAAAGATCTTTGGTTTGAAACATATCGTCTACAAAATGTGTGTACATGATCAATTGATTAAGAAAATTCTGAACATATACTAAACTTATCCTCTTAACTTTACCAACACAACACTCTTTACGATCAGATCATTTCACAACATGCAGATCACGTCTGTAACCCAAAGCTGCTTCTTACCTTTTGAAACATATCGTCTACAAAATGTGTGTACATGATCAATGATTAAGAAAATTCTGAACATATACTAAACTTATCCTCTTAACTTTACCAACACAACACTCTTTACGATCAGATCATTTCACAACATGCAGATCACGTCTGTAACCCAAAGCTGCTTCTTACCTGCAAGAAATTATCACAGGTTCGAGATTGCTCATAGAGATATTAAACCCGATAACATATTTTATAGCAGCAACTGTAGCCACCATTAGTGTACAAGGAGGAAGACAAGGAAATTACAACCCTTTTTTTACCCTACAAACACCAAATTAATGCCAGAGAAACAATCTTTCCCATTAGTTTATGATGCTTTTTCTCTTCCATCTCTTTACAATTTGAGCATATCATATTGGAAATCAAAATGACCTCGAGTTTTCTTTTCTTAACTGCAAATTCCAGTTCGATCATCGTGTAACTTGGCTCCGGCTTCTGTTCTGAAAATGCTGATTCATGCCTTTGTACCAAGGAATGACTGCAAGGAAACGGCAGACGATTAGGATAAGTTTGCAAAAGTTTAATGCACTGTCTCCAGTAGAAATATAATGAAAGATGACATGTCACAACTTATTTTGAATGAAGGACAAAAACAAAACAAAAAAACTAATGGAAACCATTACTGTCGACAAACTACATCTGCACGACCAAAACAACCGAACAATCAACCATCACGTATTCATTTACTACCAATGTGCAGGCTAAAAAAACCACCATATCACCATGTACCAACATCACAATCATTTATTCACAATCCCGAATTACTTCATCTTACGTTTGAAAAGAAATTGAAAGTTTGGTTTTGGATTTCATTTGTTATATAAATAGTGAGAATGAAATGCATGCACTATGTATTATTAACCAAGATTCAATATGATTACGCATTTGAAAAGTATAAAAACATGAATTTCAAATTCACCACTAAATAAGCATCCAACAAATCTATCAATTTAAAAGATAATCGTCCATGTTAAAATCAGATATGTTTTGTTCCACAACTTGTACTATTTAAAAAAAATACAAATCCAACTTTCAACATTCAAGTTCCTAAATGCAACCTTAATGAATGATGACAACATCAAAATTGAGAAAAAAGAACAAGATATAACAAAAGCAGATAATTAATATGACAGTCGATTTAATTTTAATCAACTATAGATATGGCTTTGATCATGTGTATGACAACTCTCATGCAAACTAAGAAAGTATATGGTGTAGTCCCCCCAACAAAAATGCTACAAATATTCAATAATCCATTTCTTGCAAGGTGATAAAAATATAGGAAGGTATGATGCAAGAACCATAAGTGACCAAAATCATGCAGTCGGTGCGTACAATCCGTTGGTTGACTACGTAGTTGAAGACTTACTATAGCACATACCTTGACTCCTGCTGGAGAGTTTCCAGGTTTTTCTGTGGTTGTGCTTCCTAAGGTAAACTTTGGCTTCTTATCTGCAGGCTTCAATATTTGAATGAAGCACATCAAAGTCTCGTCCACACTCATCATGGCTCCGGCATTATCAAACTCCCCGCAATAATTAGGTGCTGAAAATATTGTTACAAGTTGTCGATCGGCAAAGAACTCATAGCCATCCTCCACAACCTGCAAACAATATATTAGAAAATTAGTAAAAATAGCAAAAGTAGGCAACCGCATCCTCAATGGTTAAGAGTAACTACTAACTATTCAGAATGTATCAACAGGAGCCAAAACCAATTTGAGAAGAAACATTGTCTGTAACGTAATAAAAAGTATGACATCTCAAGAAAGCCATTTTTAAAGTTTGTGAACAGATGTAAACCAAGAAAAAAAGTAGTTGTACAACATGGAATAGCATAAGCATAATTCAAGAATATAACTGGCTCAACACCGAATGCGATGTGCATTGGCTCCGATTGATACATTCTTCAACACCAAATGTGAGACACAATGAGAGCTGCTGGAACAAGTAAAACCTGGTGGGCACGACAAATGAGATCCAGGTCATATTTCTGTAGAAACTCGGACACTTTATCAGGACCAAAAGTAAATGAAACTCCCCTGTCATTCATTCCCCAACCTTGAACATCTTTACAAGGATCCGACCACAAAAGATCACAGAGCAAACCTGTGTCCTGCACATCAGCCGGGCGATGTAAACTTCGAATCTGATCCAAATTATTCAGATCAGGAGAAAGGCCTCCATGCATGCACAAAATCTTCTCATCAATTAATGCTGCCACCGGTAGGCAGTTAAAACATTCTGTGAATGCCTTCCAAAGCCTAACATTAAATCTTCTCTTAGACTCATCGTAGAAACCGTATATGCGGTTGATGGAAGCACATTCATGGTTGCCCCTCAAGAGGAAAAAATTTTCAGGGTATTTTATATTGTAAGCAAGAAGAAGACATATTGTCTCCAGACTTTGCTTGCCTCGATCAACATAATCCCCCAAAAACAAGTAGTTGGCATTTGGAGGCAATCCACCATACTCAAAAAGCCTCAAAAGATCAGAGTATTGACCATGAATGTCACCTGGATGTCATAAACACATTTCAGAGAGAAAAGATTTAGAAGTCTTCCTTACATGTAGGAAAAAAGAATTATTTCAAATTACAACCAATATAATAAAAATGCTTTCCCCAAAATGCTATTATGTATTAATAACACTAGTTGTACGTAAGCTAATTTCAAGCAATTTTGTCAAATGAACTTATTACCATGGATAGTGTTGTAGTGATAACATTGTTTAAAAATTCAAAAACTTCAAATAATGTAAATGAATGTGTTTGTATCAAAAGTAATGCAATCACTCCACATGTTTCAAGTGTCAGCAGAAAATAAATGTAGTAAAAAGTTTCCCTAAAGTGAGATAGAGGAACTTATATAATGTAGATATTGAATCATTTCCCTTTCTCCGATCAGGTAATCCTGTAAAATGTTCACGCTACCCCAAGAGAAATTATTACAAATCGAAAACCAGATCAGTGGCATTTTCAGTAAAGAAGTTCCGGGAATCAAACATCAAAAGATTAGCTAGGTTGTTATGCATTGAATTGGTTATCAAGGAAACAAATGCAAGTTCTCCAAGAGAATCAAAATGGTACATACAGTTCAATAGAATATACAAAAAATCTATACACCCAGGGGTGCTAAAAAAATCTCAATTCCCTTAATCAAAACAAAGGGTGGAATAAGGCTAACATAGAGGACTAAAAAATTATTGTTACCGTTTGTATAGTAACCAAATTAATAATTAACAATAACATTAAATAAAAAAAAATAAGAGAAAGACGTAATATTTAAATAATAAAAAATAACACAGAGACTCGAATTTCGTAAAAGTAGAGCATATGAATTAAATTTAAAATTTAAAATGATACAAAGACCGTTGTCGTATTTAAACTGTTAATATTAATATTATTACTTAGTATTTAGCATATTAAAATGACAAAATTATCCTTCACCGTTTATATAAATGATTATTTTGGTTGCTATTCTTTTTTTATATAGCATTTTAGTCTCAACATTTTAATTTTTTTGTCAAAATACTCATTGTTGAAAGGAAATTGTTAGTTGATGACTAACAATCAACAAATGTTACTGACGTGACATTTTAATATACATTTAATAATTGATGTGATATATACTATATCATTAAAATAATTATGTGATATATATTAAATTATCTAGAGTGATGATCTGATATGTGTCACATCATTAAAGTGATTATGTGGTGCGTATCGCGTCATCTAAATTGAAGACTTGTCACGTCATCCAAATTGAAGATGTGTTATGTGTCACGTCAGCAATTAAACATATATGAAAATGACACATTAGCAATGTGTGTTGATCGTTAGTCAATTAACGATTTCCTTTTAACATGAAATATTTTAACCAAAATTTAAAATGTTGGAAAGTAAAATACTTTTAAAAAAAATATGTCAAAGTGACCGTTTGTATAAATATTAGAGATCATTTTATCATTATGCTATTAAATTTTATAAAAATGATAAAGATCGTGAAAATATGAAAAGTTGTAAAAGAATATAAAAATATAAAAAATTTATATTATTTTTATGGTAAAGTACGTAATGGTCCCATGACTATAGGATATTACTTTGTTGAGTTCCTCAATTATTAAAAATTATAAAATGGTTCTTCGACTATAGAGAGTTTGTTTATTGAGTCAATCAACTATTAAAAAGTTACAAAATTGTCACCTAACTATTCATTATGTCCCAAAGTCGTCATTTTTTGTTAAAAAATTAGCATCTGTTTAAGCTAGACGTTAACATGTTGAATGAGATATGATAGTCGTTTGAGATTATGAGATCAACTTTTATCATATATCAGTCAGCAGATTAACATCCATCGCAAATTATCGTTAATATTTTTAACGTAAAAGTACAAGTTTGGAACATATTGAATAATCAAGTGATCATTATGTAACTTCTAATAGTCAATGACTCAGTAAAGCAACTTCCTGTAGTCGATGAACCATTTTTTAACTTTTAATTATCGATAGACTCACCAAATCAATATTTATATATTTTACCCTTACTTTTATGGTATATTGTGATTACATTTTCTGGCATTAGTTTTCAACTAATCAAAGAAAGAGATTTTCATTAAAAGAAGGAAAGAAAGTGATATGCACGCAAAATCATCGGATATATATATATATATTATACAAATTACAATACTTAGAAATACGTATAGTTCCTCACTCTAAATAAAAAAATAATTGCATTTTAGTGCAATCAAAGAAAAAAATATAATACGAATCAAATAACTTTAGTGTTCAAGAGATTTGTTGTCACTTTTTAAGCAATGCAACTTTTATTTACATAAAAAAATTAATTGTATTCAAATGCACTTAAATTTGTAATTTTTTAAATATAATAATAATAATATTAATTAAATTATTATTTAATAGACAAAAAAAAAATTTCAGCAGCCATTTTCATATAGGCGCAAATTTGGATGTAAACAAGATGTTTATAATCGTAGGTTACTTGTTGGGATTTTTGGAAGCTCGAATCGATAACCGGAACGATTTGTAAAGAGGGGTCGGAACGGTTTTGAGTTTAGGGAGTAAGGAGATTGAAAGATAGAGAATTGCACAGCGATTTATAGTGATTCGACTTTCTCAACCAAAGTCTACGTCCACTACCTTAGCTCATCATCAAGGATTTTCCAACAAATTCACTAATTTGTTCTTTCTTTTGAGGACAAAGAGTAACCTTACAAACTCCCTAGTTTTTCCGGGTTAAACTAGAACATTTCCTTAGTTTTTACACGAGATAAGCTAGAACCTTTCCCCTTTACAAAAGGATAAAATAAGTAAATAATAAAACCTCTCTAAGGTAAATTTTTACAAGATTGAGCTCACAAGAACAAAATATTTACAAGAGAAAGATGAAATAAGATTGAAACACTCTTCTCTTGTGTTTGATTGCTTGGATGGTTGTTCTCTCTATTCTTCAAGTGTCCTTAGCTTGTATTTATAGTTTGGAATGTGTTTGATGTTGTTTATAGTCGTTGGGGATGTTTTGGAGCCGTTTGGGGATGATTTTTCTACTCAAAAAGGTTGCTAATAACATGGTGCATCGGTGCACTATCATGGTGCATCGATACCCCTTCATTAAATTCAAATAAACTAGTCGTTACTAGCCGTTGCAGCCTTCGTGCATGGATGCACAGCAGGATGCATCGATGCACAACCTTGATGTATCGATGCACAGAAGGATGCATCGATGTTCTAATTGCATTCGGTGTTTGAGTGCATGGATGCACTACATGGTGCATTGATGCACTAGTGCAGGTGCATGGATGCACTGCAGGGGTGCATGGATGCACTTTGACACACTTTAGCATTTTGGCTCAAATCCGAATTTAATGGACTTTGAATTATTTTTGAAACTTTTTAAAACTTTGAATAAATTCAATTAAGTCCAAAAACATTTTATAAATTCAATTCAAGTCCAAAAACCATTTTGCCTTAAATTGTTATATCAAAACATAGTTCAACATTACTCATATTTGATTAAAAAAAGGAACTTGTCTCTGTGATAATCTGTTGAGCTCGAGTTATCGGGTAAGTCAAATATAATTTTTTAAAAGTTTTGATTTAAAATGGAACATGAATAATTTGAATTTAAAATTGATCATGAAAATAATATTTAAAATTTAAAAATAAAATTCAATTAAACTCAAAAATGAAATCTTAAATTTCAAATTTCTTAGTAGGTTGTTTGCATATGAAATCAAGAAATTGGCAATTGGATTTGTCATATCAACGTGGACGATTCTTCTGTTTTTGTTTTCTATCAAACAATATCCAGCCATCAACTTGCTTCACATTAATATATACCACTTCGTGACCCGCATTGTCCTACTTTTAAACCTCATTTCTTCTATAAAAACCCTTCATCCACCTTCATCCACACATCAGTCATTCTTTAATTACGTTTCATAAACTCTTGTATCGAGAAAATGGCTTCACTGTTTAAACCATCGCCTCTTCTATTTCTCTCCTTCAACCTCCTTTTCTTTCTTTCAGTAACTTCTTCCGATACTCCGTCGACGGAGTCGGAGGACTTCTCGACGGTTTATTGAATGGAATAGGAGGAAACTCCGATGACAATGCACACGGCTCTTCAACCTCAGCATCATCCCGCAATCCCGTCGTTATCCGTCCCGGAGATAGACAGGCGGGTACTTGTAATCCCCTTAATCTGGGTGTGTGTCTTAATGTATTGGGTGGCTTGTTGGATCTCGAAGTTGGTAACGTACCGTCCGATCAATGTTGTAGTCTGATCCGAGGGTTGGTTGATCTCGAAGCTTCCGTATGTCTTTGCACGGCGATCAGAGCTAATGCGTTGGACGTTATTAAACTCGACGTTCCGATTTCGTTGAGCCTCCTACTCAACCACTGTGGGCGGGAAACCCCGACTGATTACGTGTGCAGCCCATGATTGTTCCTCCTACAACAATGTTCCAAACTCTGTTTGCTTTGATTTTACTGTATGTCAGTGTGTTTCAAATATTGGGATTGTTTGTTTGTTGTAATAAGCCTTTGTATGAGTATTGCATCACTACTTTTAAATAAAATAAATACATTTAACCTTTAAGTTTAATTGTTAGGTCAATCGTTAACAGTAAAATTCAATAGATATTAATAAAGAACTAAATAATGTACAAGGATCAATATGGAAAAATTAAAATATAAGAACTAAATTTTAAATATTAAATAGTACATACACCTTTAATATATTTGAAATAATGATTATTTAATTCTCCATTATTATTTTTGATATGTTAATTTAGTTAACATTATTGTTTGGTTTATATCATAAATAAATATTAAAATATAATGTTCATTTCATTTAAGTATCTAAAATATTTTTTTGTCAAAAAAAGTATTTGAAATTATCTTTTTTTATCAAAATAGTTACCTAAAGTATTCAATATTTTTATCTAAGTTCTGAAAAGTTAGCAAATGACATTAATTAAAAAATAATTTAGGTATGAAAAAATTAAATACTTTAAGTATATGTTAGATAAAAAATATTTTAAATATTTATTTTGATCGAAAGGATAACTTTAATTACTTATTTTGATCAAAAGAATCCAAACTCGAAAGCTCGGGTGGTTTTGTTTTAATCCTGATAGCAAATAGAGCTATTACTGCAGGCCATCAATGCCCCTGTAGCTAGATTTCTGTAACATTCTATCCGCTGCCAAATGATGGCTTCGTTTTTTTAGCGAATGAAATATAATGTTATACTTAGCTGCAATGTTGGCAGGAAGCAGTTCCTTGTTTGTTTCATATCATGTAATGCATAAATTGATTAACTACAAGTATTGTATCATCCTTTCTGTTAACCGTGTTTGATATCCGATCTAATATTTTAGTATGCATTCCATCATTTTCATCCTCCGAAAGATTAAATTAGTTGGGAAGAAACATTTCAAGCAATGCAGAGTTCCCTTATATGGCAGTTATATCTCAAAATCTCTTAGCGTATGAATCTGTGGAACTTATTTCGGTGTTGGATCGATATTTCGATGTTTCTCTTCAGTATTTCAAGTCTTCCACTCGGGACTGGATCACCGAAAAGGGATGAAAAGCCTGGATCATCAAAATGTTAAAATTTTCCAACTTAAACAAATTACAAATTGTGTTATCCATTAACTATTTATGTAATCATTCTAGAGCAGTACTTGAGTGAAAAAAAAAACAAAGTACAGGCTTCTGCCTAATTCTCTTTTAGCTGACCACAGTCTTCGATCACAACAGGTTGTGAAGTCCTCCCACTATCTGAGCCTATTTTTTCCATTTCCTTGACAATACTATAACCATCCACTACTTTACCAAAGACGACGTGTTTCCCGTCCAGCCACGGGGTCTTCTCATTGCATATAAAGAACTGAGAACCATTTGTGTTTGCACCAGCATTTGCCATTGACAAACAACCAGGTCCAGTGTGTTTAAGCTTGAAGTTCTCATCTGCAAATTTCATGCCATAGATAGACTCCCCACCAGTGCCATTCCCCCTTGTGAAATCTCCACCTTGACACATGAAGCTCGGGATGATCCGATGAAATGCCGAGCCTTTATAGTGCAACGGCTTCCCAGACATTCCAATACCTTTCTCCCCAGTACAGAGGGCACGGAAATTTTCAGCAGTTTTAGGTACAACATCAGCAAATAGCTCCATAACAATTCGACCAGCTTTTGCTTTTCCAATCAAAATATCAAAGAAAACTTTGGGGTTTGACATTATGTTAACCTAGGTAACACACCTGTGGACAATAATCAAAATGTTCAGTACTCTCTTCAAATTCAAACATTTTATACAAAAGAACGTCAGCCTCTGCATCTGAAAAAATGGACGTAAATAAGAAAATGTAATCATCAACCATTTAAACCTCAAGATAAACAATGGGTATTTTATCAAAAGGAGAAATTTTTGAAGGGGGTGATACTCATGATATTGCACAACTATTGAGCTCACAGGTTTTCAGTAAAATAATCACCTGCAAGCCTTCGATGTGTGCTAATGTAAACATAACAAGATCATGCAGTAATGAAGAAATGATATACCTTTGGGAGAGATGATGAGAGTTGGAGCTTGCAGACGCTTGATAATGGAGATGGCAGCGATTGGGGGTTTTAGGTGAACTTATATAGAAATGGATGGACAAATTTTTAGGGTTTTAACTGAGATATTGGATTTTTAGGGTTTACAGATTGGCCTATACGCTACATTTACAGCCCACTAGAGTTTTACAAATTAGGTTCTCCTCATCTTCTTTATTTGGTTCTCAATTACAATCTCATAATATTTGAATATTACAAATTATTTTTAAAAAATCACTAATTAAGTATTTCTTTTTAACATCATCTTGACCAATATCAAAATTAATTATAAAAAATATAATATTTGATAATAATTTAATTATAAAATTTGAATAAAATATATAATTCAACTTGTAAATAGATCTAATTATTTTGTAGGTATGAATATGATTTTCAAAAATTATATTTGGAAATAGATAAAATATGATTTTCAAAAAATAAACACACCTGCATTAAAGGCATACCTGTATGAATGGCATAGGAGAAAATAGTAGTTCATAAGGATTTGAATCAAGAGATAAATATTCTATAATTATTGAAGGTAGGGTTGATATAGGAAAAATGGATAGCTGATACTAGGCATAATTCACATACATTGACACAAATACAGCAAAACATTGACTTGCAAATCTAATGAACAATAAACTATCAAAAAAGATAGATGGGAAGATAAGAATCCTTTCGTAGAGACCCAAGTTCTAATGCAGCAAACTCAACTTCCTCAAAATCACAACTTAAATGGGCGCTGCACATGTTGTTCTAAAATGGCCTGTCTGATTACAACGGCTGCAATGCACAACCCGCTTCGCACGGCCACGATCTTCTGCACGAACTCGCTTCTTTCGTGGTCGACCTGGCGGCTTAAGTGATTTGGGTGGGTGAATGATAACTTCAAGGGCTTTGTTGGCACTTGGATCACTGTCAGACAACTCTTTCCATAGACTTCTATCCGGAATGGGATGAATAGTTTGAGAATATGCCTTCCGGTATGTTGCAACAGTGAAACAACTCTCGGTAAATCGATTAACATTCTGCCTGCAAGAAAGAAGTGCAGCCACAGCGTGTGCACAGGGCAAGCCATACAACTGCCATCCACGACAAAGACAGCAGCGGTTGCGAATGTCCACTATATTTGTTCCTTCCTGAGATATAACTTCAAATTCGGCTTCATTAGCACGAAGCACTTGATAACTGCGTGCACATTCAAGGGCCTCTGCAACGCATCTTTCAGCAGAAGGCACAAGTATTGATGTCCACTGCATGCTTGTCTCTCGCCGTTCATTGAACCAAGTCATAAGCTGTCTCCTAATGCATTCCATCATCTGAATTATTGGAAGACCTGAAGCTTCTAAAAGCCAAGAATTCAGTGATTCAACTATGTTTGCTGTTAGATGCCCAAACCGTGTGCCTTCGAAATAAGCTGTCGCCCACAATCGCGGAGGGATTCGTCGGATCCAATACGCAGCATCTTGCGATATCTCTTCAATCTCAAGAATCTTTGCTTCAAATTCAATAACAGTCAGGGCATGAGCAGCATCCCATAGAAGGTTGACAAGCATAGTATTATTAAACTCCTTTCGAAAACTTTCACTCAGATGAAGCATGCAAAATCCATGAAAAGCAGTAGGAAAATTTGCTTCAACACCATCAACAATGCCCTTCTGTCTATCAGACAAAATTGTAAGCCTCGGCATGTTTTCTGTATAAATTTCAAGCAGAGTATGAAGTTCAGAGAGAAACCACATCCAGTTTTCATCAGTCTCCTCATTGACGACACCAAATGCCAGAGGAAACAAAGCACCGTCACCGTCAAAACCAGTAGCAAGAAGCAAAGTTCCAAGATATTTACTTTTCAAAAATGTTCTATCTAGCCCGAGAAGTGGTCGACAAGCATTTAGAAAACCATAAATAGAGGCCTGAAATGATATGAAGAGACGCTGGAAACAGCTATCTGTTGGGTTTCCATAAACAGATGCAATACTCCCCGGATTTGTCCTCTTAATCTGTTCACAATACTGAGGGAGTAAGCGATACCCTTCCTCAAAAGATCCACGCATGGCAGCCATGATACGCTCCTTACCTCGCCAGGCTTGCTTGTAAGATAAGGTTATTCCGTGAACCCTATGAATTTCTTCCAATATCTCTTTTGGCTTGTAGTTAGGATTCTCCCTTAATCGCTGCTCCACAGAGTGTGCCACCCACTGCACAGAGGCTTGTTGATGGCCGAGATGATAGAGTCCTCCACATGTATGGGTCTCATGGATGGTTCTGATTGTGAATGTTGGAACACCAGGGAGCTTTGCTGCATGTATACGCCACGGACATCCCTCACTCGCACATTTGGCTGTGAAACGAGTCTTGTCAGATTTTATGGTCTGTATTTCAAAGTGAAGAGCAATAGCTGTATCCCTCAATGCCCTGCGGCAGCTTTTGACATCAGGGAACTCCTGCCCAACTGCCAATTCATAACTCGGATTAGAATTCCGAACTTGAAGGACAGGAGGGAGACTGACTAAAACCTGGGATTGCTGCAAATCTCGGGCAGGATCAATTCCCATCTCTTGGTTATCAACCACAGCCAATTCCAGATTATCATCGAGCTCTTGGCTTTCAGAAACAACCAAATCATTATTCTCTGATAAAGCCAACTCACGGTCATCGTGGTCAGGTTTTCGATCAGTAGTTAAGTTGTTACCATGCCTGTAACTGTGACCAACATCCCCTTCTTGATCATGCCTCTGTCCTAAATCCAATTCATGGTCATGAGAGTGCCCTAAACCTAGGTCATTATCATGAGCCTGTCCCAAGCCTAAATGATGATCATGGCCAGTTCCTAAATCCAAAACTCGGTTATGGGTAAGACCCAAATTATGATTATGGCCTAACACCAGTGTCTGATTCTGCCCCAATGCTAAACTGTGACTTTGTCCGAGTATCAGATCATTGTTTGCCATTGAATAAAACAAGCCACAGTCTAGGAACCACAAACTAACTCAGACCCAAAACACAACCCAAATTTACAAACTGATAACACATACCTGCCAAATGAAATACCAGAAACACAATGAGAAGAAAAAGGAATGACCATATGAACGGGAAATCATGACAAATAGGCTAATCATTGACAAGTTATTAACATTCAGATAGAAAGACAGGAAGAAATGTATCCAACCTATCTTGCAATATTTCAAATGCAGCCCCAAAGGTTGCTTTTTATTTTTTGGACAAAAGATCATTTTTGTTCTATCAACACTATCATCTTAATCATGAAAAGAAAATACGGGCATAACATATGGAACAATCCACTGTAAGCAGCAAACCTTTCACTTGGATGATAAGAAGTGAAACCAGAAAACATTTAGTTCTGAGTTTCTACAACTACTTCTGCATTAACCAACACAGAAAACAAATCAATATACATAATGAATGACAAGGAAATCCAAATGCTAAGGAAAAGGACATAACGAACACATAAACTTAACACCAATTAGACTTCTCTAATATTCTAAACAAAGCAATTAAGCTTGGTGTCAAGTATTTCTTGACCAATAAATTCAACATCCTACACATCCACACAAATAGCTAACATTTCACTTTCCTACTCCTTCAGTTTCTATGTGAAATAAGTTCCCATTTCATACATTCTTCATAAAATATGGACCCATCAATCAAACATAAACACCAGCCCAAAAAAATCCTAAAAAATAAGCTTTAAGCAGCTTGCAGCTTGCTTGAAAGTCATAATAACTTTAAAGCACTTCATCCACACTAAAAATTAAGGGGGTCACTAAATTATCGAACATAAAGAACACCCATCAATTACAATTTACAACATTAAAAAAGAGGAGGAAATCCGCAAAAACGAAGGTCAAAATACCTGGTATTGGATACCCTAGCTGAAAAATAAAATGAACCCCATAAAATAACACAAACAATTAGCTTCAAGAAGCCTAAAAACAAGGTGGATATTGCAACAGAACACAAGAAACAAAGCGTTGAAGCGAGAAACCCCCTACAATGGAGTAAGAAACTAGGGTTTTCGGTGGCAAACACAATTGGATTGGAGTTCTGCAGAGAAATGAAGATGAAAGTTTTAGAACGTTGGGGATTTGTTTTGGCGGGTAATAATTGTTAAAAGGGTAAGAAAGGGGATTTCAATTTTCCGGGAGAAAATTGGGAATTAGGAAGAAAAGGAACGAGGGAAGGGAAGGGCAAAGGGGAGATTGGGAAATTTACAGGGGCACAGGAGTGAGTGTCGATGCGAGGATCTAGTGTTTGGACTTTTGGGTTTGTTTAAACAGTGATCGAGGGTATTTTTGTCAAATGATGTTGAACTTTGGGTTGCCCTTTTTTCTTTTTGTTTGGGCTTTTTTGGAATTAACTTTTCTTTTAATCAAAGGGCTCAAAGGGCAATTACGGCAACACTGCACTGAATATTAGGTAAATAAAACTAGATTGAACTTGAAAACATTAAATTATTTCATTCGAATTTACATAATTCGAATCAATTTTTTTAAATGAAGTTTGAACTAATAAAATATAAATTAAATAATTCAAAAATTTTATAATTAATAGATTAGTTTTCAAGTTCGAGTTGAGTCTCTTAACTCTACATGATATATGTAAATCATAATATATATATATATATATATATATATATATATATATATATATTGTATATAAAAAAAGAAAGTTTTTTAAATTGAAATCAATTAGTATAATAACATAATAAATATTTATAATTAAATTTAAATAGAAATGTAAACAATTCGACTTGACTCGAATTTTATAAATTTGAATAATTTGATTCGATAAAATTTTAAATAAAAACTAAATTATAAAATAATACTCGTCAAGTTGACTAACTCAAAAAATTTAATCTGACTCGATTGAATAATCGCTTCTGATGCTCATAGCTGCAACTGCAAGCAACAATTAAATCGATGCTCAATCTACTACCAGAATCAAGCTTGTATCAAACTTGATAACAGAAAAAAAAAACATTAGTATTCTGCATGGTTGTTTTAATCTGGAAGTATCAAACTTGTATGAATTAAGCGATGTTAGTGATTAAAGTAATAATTGT